TTTTTTTAAAAAAAAACACACACACACACACACACAAATCATATTATTGATAATTTGCAAATATTTATTATATTTATGTCATTATCTAATCCCAACACACTATTATTCAATGCACCTTTAAAAATTTTAACCGTGAAAATTATTTTGGATCCAATTTTACCTTTTTCCATTTAGATGCTATAAGAGAAATTGTTGTTACAATCTTCAAAGATTAAATTCTTTCGTAAATTAATTAACTTTTTTCTTCATAAACTTATATGATCATCACAGTTATGATTTCTATAATTAAAACCTCTAGTCCTTTCATATTGGGTTTGTTTTTAGGGGATTTGGATCCTTTCCATACTCTTTCTCCCACTTCTAATTCATACTAAATCTTATTCGTTCATTCTGGCGATTCATTTAGTTACTGCTATCATAAGGAAGCATTATAATCTCACTTTCAAAGGCATTTAAGTGATCCTAAAATCCGAATATATATATCTGCCAACAATCCTAATAATAAATATATGATATTTAAATCAAATGAACAGTTAAATAAATGAGTAAGATTAATTAAGTATAAATAAAGAGTATGGATAGATTGTAAATCCCTCGGATGTTGATGGTTTAATTTGTTCTGGTTTTTGTGCTTCCAGTTTCGTTCAAACGTGTTTATCCTTTCGCTAAGGGGGGGAAATCTTTGCCATGCTGGAACGGAGCTGGGAGGTCCGGGTCACCTGGTACAGGAGAGAAGCCAACCAAATTGCTGATCGTCTTGCTCGAAAAGCTCTGAATTGTGCTAGCGGAGTTGCTTGTTTTTCTAGTATTCCTCACTTCATTTCGGAACTGGTTGACAGCGATAATTATGCTGCCTGTAAAACTTACCTAATCTTGCGCATGCTTTATATAAAAAAAAAAAAAAAAAGAAAGAAAGGAAGAAGCAGAAATCTCACATTAATTAATTACTTAAATATTCAATAATTCCAAAATCACAAAACTACCCCTTGTCTGTGGGCTCAGGCAAAGGCATCGGACTCTCTCATCAGAAAGAAGGGGTTTGATCTTGAGGAGTGTCACTTTGTTGTGGTTGCAATCGCGACGTTAGGAGAGATATCACCACAGTATAATAAAGCAGGAAAACTCCTACCTATTGGGTCAGGAAAAAAAGAGCCTTGCTTGTCATGTTCTCATACCCATAGATAGGTCCTAGTAGGTGAGTCTAATTTTTTTTCTAGAATTTCTCTTGCCAAAAAACTGAATATAAAATGCTGTGGGAACACCGGCCGAATCAGCCTGATACCGATGACAAAACTGGAAGCCAAGTCTGAAACACTTGAATATTAATGCAACTGCGTGGGGCTGCCCGAGACACCCATTATCGTGATTTACAAGGTCTCTTATTAATCACGTCAAACGCCCCTTAATCCTATTAATAATTCAGCAAAGAATACAAAAGTGGTAATCTTTTATTATTATTTTTAAATCAACGCAAGGAGACGCCATGAATCAAGATCATGGTCTTCCTCGGTAAACTTTCTTGCAAACAGAGATCGGTTCTGGGCAGGCGTGCACAGCTGTGAATTTGCCGGGCAGCTCTGCAGACAATTATCACCCAAGCTGCCGGAAAGCACTGCACCGCCGTTGCCGGTGAAGAACCCAGCCGGCGGCTTCCCGATCAGGAAGTTCCCGTCCAAGAACAACCTCCTCATGGATTTGCTCTGACTGTACTCCAATGGGATCCTGCCACGTAACGAGTTGTACCGGAGTGACAAAAACGACAACACAGGATACGCGGCGAAATTGGCGGGCGCGTAACCTTGGATCTTGTTAAACCCCAAATTAACCGCCACGAGATCACTGTTACCTCCGACCGGTCTCGAGGTCTCGAGGCCGGTAAAGCTATTGTTCGCCAAATCAACTTGCTGAAGCGAAGGTAATGAAAGAACCAAGCCTCAATTTTGCCGGCGAGTGCGTTCTCGCTGAGCTCAACCACCTCCAATTGGTTTAGTTTCTCGAACGTAAATTTATTCAGAGAGCCAGATAATGAATTCCCCTTCATCGCGAGTTCGATCAGGTTCGGCGGAAGCAACTTCGGGAGAGGCCCAGTTAGCTTGTTGAAACTCACGTCCATTCTTCTCAAGCCAGCAAGAGAAGCCATTGCACTTGGGAGGGACCCAGAGAAGGAGTTATGAGAGAGGTCGAGACTCTCGAGCGACTTAAGGTTAATTATGGAAGGAGGGATAGAGCCAGAGAAGGAATTGGATCGGAGAGATAAGGATTGGAGGGTGGTCAGGGAGAGAGAGACGGTGGGATTTGGCCGGAGAAAGAGTTGTCAGAGAGGTCCAAGGTGGTGAGTTGGGTGAGCTGGGAGATAAGAGGGGAAAGTGAACCAGAGTAGCCGGCGGGGTCGAGGGTGATTTGTGTGACGCGGGTGGAGTCGGGAGAGCAAGTGAGGCCGCAGACGAAGGAGGTCCGGCGAGGGAGAGAGCAAGGATCAACAGCGAAGTTCCAGGAAGCTAAGCAAGACGACGGAGGGATAGAAGACGGAATAACGGAGGCTTGAAGGCTTTGAGAGCTTGAGTGTCTGAGGGTAAAGTGCGTGCTTGAAACAGAGGAAGGCGCAAAAGGAGAATGAGAAAGAGGAAGAGGCGTTCCAGAATTGAAGAACGTGTTCCCATTCTCAGATCTCACAAGGATTTCAGTGAAGCAAAGCAGAACAGAAGCTGATGTGAAAGGGAACGAGGAGGAGGACGATAGTGGGAGCCGCAAAGCAGAGAAGAACCAGTGTTATGAATGAACGAAAAAAAGAGAGACTTTTTGAGACAGTGGGTTGACCAAATGGCCAAAGAAGATTGGTTGGTTAAGGCTGGAATAGCGGTGCAGAAATAAACGTAGGAGCACAGACTCTGGATTCTGTCTGTGGTCGCACCAAGAGCTTGATTGGGTTAAGTATTTAAATCACTCAAAAGTATAATTTTGTTTCTAGAATTGCTTCTTCTTGTTTTGTTTTTTTTGGGTTATTTAGTTTCCTGTCAATGATGTTGTGAATCTTTTGCCTCTAAACCAATTCACGTCATTAAAGACATGGGAGGAATTTAAAATTGAACCATAATGTTTATATAACCAACTAAATATAATTGAGTTAATACTGCCAATTTAGTTCATATCTTATAAGGAAATAAGTTGAACTCTATTGCAGATATGGCGATATAATTCACTTTATTTTTTTTAAAAAATGTTGATATAATTTTGGTTTGTTAAAGATAAGGTTACTAATGATTAAGTTGGTAACAATGTCCTGTAATTTTCAAACTATGAGTTGGTACTCTAACCAACTTGATTCCCAATTCTCACTAATTTATTACATGTAACAACGCTCGCTAATCCAACCACTGGTGCTCTATAAAGTGGGTAAATGAATGGCTACCTTACGGTCTGTATTTTATATACATGTAAATATTGTACATGTATATTCTTCGGGAAGCAAAGGATTTTATTATTCAAATTTATGTGAGTTTTAAAATTGAATCAGAATCAATTTTTAGTTAATAAATAAAAAAGGGGATCAAAATAGGGATGGAATCTTATAGGTGTGAGATAGTGTATCCTATCTCTAATTTTTCTTCATTGTTTCCTTCAGTCTCACTACATATTAAATTGATTAAAAATTAAATGAGTCCATTAAAGCACTCGCTCAAGGAAGAGAAGAATGGAATAATTCATGATTGGGTGCTTGGGCTAATGAAGGAGAAATTATTAGTATTAATATCAGAACTAAGAGAAATCAAATCTTTCCGAATTACAAACACATCACATGGGTTTTTGTCTTTTTACCACAAATGTCTCTTGTTATTTGTGAAAACTGCAATATCAAGGATACCGTCAATAAAAAGAGAATGAGCAAAAAAAGAAAGAAGGATTACACTTTATACACACATGTGGTATCCTCTTATTAGAAACAATCTAGTTTGAGGTACTGTTAGGTACTAAATGTGAATATCTCTCTTGAAAAAAGATTTTAACATTAGTTTACTATATTATAAAAAACTAGTATCTTTTGTTAAACCTAATTTCTTGTGGTCACACAGTATGCACACATAGGCAGCGTTGTTGACAAGGACAGCGACCTCAGCCGAATTCTTCATGATAAAATCTTGTTCATGAATCAGCCATCCATACTCTCCCAACTAGATTCTGGGGTGTAGAGCCTCTGTTTTTTCCTTTTCATAAAACGAACGAAAGAATTGTACGAAATTGCCTCAAAAGAGAAATGATGGTCAAGAACCACAGAACCACCAAGAGCTGTCTGATGCAATTCCACTCTGGCTAAAATGGATTGACTTTTTTGTTCACAAGGATTAGAAAGCAAGCACTTGTCTTTTCATAAAGAACGATCGAGTTTCCAAGCAGACACACCCTATATGTAAAACTTATTACTTAATTGATCAAATATAATTCACAAGGACTTAATTGATCAAATATAATTCACAAGGACTAGTGTTGATCTTTCTTTTTACTTATGTATAGGGAAGAAATAACAGAACATTCGTCAGAAGTGACGTGCCCCACAGCAGAATTGTATATGGCTGAAGAGCTAATGGAGACCGTGAGGGAGGGCTCACGTACCCGGAGATCCTTACGCACTCTGAATGTACAGCCGCCGTCCAATCATTCATAATACTCACTTGGAAGCGCACTAGTGTGTACGAGAGTTACAAATATATACTTTTTTCTAAAATTTACACGATATGCACACGAAAAACAGAGAGAATTACAGCAAGTTGCTAAAAAAAAAAAAACAAAATAAGTCTAAAAAATTATTATTTTTACTCTAAAACTTGTCATTATAAGCTACTTAGATTGTTATTGAGATTTTTTAATAATTTTTTTTAGAACCACATTGTAATTTTCTCCAAAAAAAAACTGCTGAAACAGATATTACCAAAAAAGAACTCGCATGACAAGAGATTGCGCCAGATAAAATTAGAAGAAGTGATGAGAAAATGTAAAGTGCAATGTGATAAATTACATATTTTATATTTGTACAGAAAAATACATATTTTAGATAATCTATTATAATGTTATTTCCGAGTAACCATACATCGAAGGATTTTTTTTTGTGTGTAAATTTTTGTGCCTTTAACTTCGGCACTTCGCATACTGAAATACAGTTAGATTATGATTAAAAGAGATCTTAATTTTTCCAAAAGCCCGGTTATGATTTGAAGCTTCCAATCCCTTTCCTCGCCCCAATGCAATTATACAACGAACAAGGATAAAATTTCATCCTTAAAAACTCCGACTTACGGAACATACAAACAGTGGCTACGAGCACTCCGAAAGAAAAGTCATCAGTTCTTTGAGGCTGATTGGAAGATAAAAATTGCGGTCAGAACGCCAACCAAGGCTGTTACTGCCAGGGCAACTGTAGGCAGGGGACTGGTGAGTCCAAAGTTCTGCATGACCAAATAAACAAGAAAATAAGCATTCCTTTACAACGACAGAGTCACCTAATAATCATTCTTTGCACCACTCTCACAGCTGAATATCACTTGAAAGGGTGGGAGGGGCATTGTAATAAGTAGAGGGTATCAGATCTCCAGAAATAAATCAGTTAGTTTTCACCTAGTTTATATGCATATCACAACGCACTCGAATTTGGTTACCACACTATGTTCGAAAAAAGTTCATATTAGCACGAAAGGAAGCCAATAGCTAGCGGCTTATAATTCATTAAATGACGCAAATAACAAGCAATGCCAAAGCTTATAAGATGGTGGGTGCCAATCAAGTTATAAGATGAATGGCATAGCCACACTTCGCGGTGTTCTTCATTTTCAAAACATTGAAGAGTTAAAATGTCATTGCACAGGTTAATATTCTTTATACATCTTCATAGTTTGGTCGGCAAAAAATGTCCCATTTTCTGGGAGGGGAAGTCAGGTTGTGAGAGGTAGGTAACAGCTAAAAATCCCTTGCATGGAGCAAATTAAAGCTATGCAAGGCTCATAAGATAGAAACGGGTATGATGCATTGTTATTCTTCCCCGGCTCATTTCTGCTGTGATTAAGCATTACCGTAGCCATGCTATCAAATTAAAGTAACTTGCTAAATACAGATAATAAATCATACCTCCAGAAGACCCTTTCCTGTAGCAATTTCAACAGTGATGGCCACTGCAAAGCCAACCATAGCTGACCGGCCTAGCCATACGTCCAAGCTGTTCCCTCCTCGGGTGCTTTGTTCACACCTTATTGAAACAGGTATTGCTTTGCTAGCAGGCTGCCTTGCATAGCTTTTCCGAATCACTAGAAACAAAGTCAAACATCAGTACCATTTATATCACTAGGTAAATAGCTGGGATGTTATTTCAACATTGTTTTAGCGCCTTGCCACCCCCAACCAAAAACGGGAAAGAGCAACTTTGAAAGCATATCAATGTTTCAGATGGCCAGCTAAGTCAGTTCATCTAAAACCTTAGTATCACGAGATTGAAAGCAATTTTTCCAAAAATGAAAATAAGCACAGCTGGAATTAATGTAAAGTTAATACTAGAAGTATGCTGACTAGACAATAATGTTAGCTAAAAATACGCCGTGAAGGGCTGTGATTAGTATAGCTTAATGTCTGGCAAAAAAAAAAAAAAAATTAGCAGAGCTTAATGACTTCACTTTAACTATTTGCCTCATAATACGAGGTCTCAAGTGGTTTAGCACTCAGTGACTATATTTCCAATGAAGGGTTTTCTCTACATATTTATTTCTATACGCTATATATTTTCAATAGAATTGGCAATGCTGAAAATCATTTCTTTGTCTCCCAAAATTGGTGTTTGGCAATCTTAAAAAGTGCTTCTGAGAAACAATTTTTCGCAAAAAGACAAATTCCTTCACATATTTATTTCGTAAACCATAAAAATACTTTTAAAATCATAGTTTAGTTTCCATCCAAACACTCCTTAGTCAAATTCAAGGGCCGGAGCAAATAAGTTGCAAAAGGAAGATATTCCCTAGGAGCTAGGTAATCCTAAGCTAACAAAATCCAAGAGCAATATTGAGAAATAAACCCAAATGTGTTGAGAACTACAAAGGAAACAGGGCATAGTTTTTCAATATGCAGGGCAAGGGGCATAAATTAAGAAGTGGCAAAGCACTGATTCTTACACAGAGGGGAACCAGAGGCGAAGGAAGTTCCTCTGGAAGCGACATTGGATCGGGGAAATCGACAAGAAGAAGTGGATTTGGGTAAGCTGAAAGCACAAACATCTGCAGAATAATTGGTGAATTCCAGTTAAATATGAAAACTTGGGACCAAATTAAAGCCGAGATAGAAATGGAAATGGGTTACCGCGTATAGAGACGGAGAAAGAAGCAGAGGCTTGAGCAAGGGCCATGGAGGCTGCTGTTCTTGCGGAGTAGCGAAACTAAACGGTGCTCAGGAATTGTGTTTTTATCTTTTGGTTTCGTGGGAGTGGAGACACAGCGGCTGATGCTAGCTCTTTCTCGTTCCAAGATGACCAACCATGTTGCCGACTCAGGTGATAGACACGTGGCCTCTTAGCCTTTTTTCTAATTATGGATAATTGCAAATAAATATTTGTATGGAGCGGACATTTATAGGTTATAGTGTTTTTTTAAATTTTTTTGTCAAAATTTTTATAGACGTATTGCTTTAAAAATGATGGCAAAAAAATTATTTAAAAATATTTGAATAAAATAATAATTCTAAAAATAGTTTTTCAAAAAATCTAAAGAAAAAACAATAATCTTAACAATTAGTTAAATATTAATCTTAGTTTCATTTCTCATTATTCAAACTAATGAGTTTTTTTTTTAATGACGGATCAAACTAATGAGTTTTAAGTCTTGTAAAAGGTAATAACCACGGCTTATCTACTCTTAATTCATAAATTTTTTATTATGGGATTTTAAGTCTTTTATTGAAAAAATTGAAAGTAACTTAAGTACGTTTATTTTGAAATCATTTCATGACATCAAAATACAGTTGTTATTTTTAACAATGTTACAACTTATAATTTTAAAAACCACTTTTGTTCAAAAAAGCTCATTGTCCAAAGAAAGGATAAATAATAGATTTTCCCTTACCGGGTGCCAATATCTAAGGCAGATAAAGCTCCACGTCCCGCATAGAGATTTTTTTTTTTTTGTGGTTCCCTTTTTAACAATCGTACAATATGGAGTTCAAGAATCAAGACTCCAGACGAATCCAAAGAGAACGATATTTTTATATATTTAATTCAAATTAAAAATAGAATGGTGATTTTTTAATAAGCTAAAAATAGAATGATGATACTGCTGTGGAACTTAAACAGTATTAACTGAATGGACAATTATTAACTAAAATTATTAATTTGTTTCCTTTTCTGGTTCAAAAGAGTATAAGATAAACTGGGAATTATTTTGTTGGCAAAAAAAAAAAAAAAACTGGGAATTATTTTGCTGAGTTCGTACTTCGCAGCCAGTTCGAGGAGATCGCTTTTCTCGTCATCTGCCTAGTTGTGTTTTGCTATTTTGCTCATACTTGACGGGAAATGGCTACCTTTCCAGTTGGGACTAGTTTGCCTCCTTCACAATCCCAATCCCAGCACTTGCGGAGCCGAGCACTTCACTCTCCATTTCATGGCCTTCGCACCTTCCAATCTCCACTATCATTATCATCTTCTTCCTTCTTTGGTTCTTCTTCTCTTTGTAGAATTACGGGTCTCAGGTTGCCTGGTAATCATGTATTGGCACGCGCTGAAGAGAAGGCTAGAGGTTCTACTTCGTTTCAAGAGCAGCAAGCTGAACAACGTCCCGAGAGACAATTTCAGGTTTCTATATTCTATGACCCCTTCCGTTGTTTCTCTAGTTTATGCATTCGGTAATCAATGATACATCCCAAATTTACCGTAGCATTGGAAAATGGATCAAAATTCAAACTTTTGTTTAGTTGTTAAAATAAGCTTACTTCATCACTGCAATGTTCAATGTGTTGACTCCCCCCCACCCTTTGGTTTCTGGGACTTAGTAGTACACTTTTAGTCGCTCTGATTTTAATCTTAAATTGATGATTCAATCTTTTCTTTCAACATTCAGAAGTAATGTAATTGAGTTCTCTGATCATACTTCCTGACGGTGACGAAAAATGATGATAGCCCAAGTGAATCACATTCATTGGTGGGATTCAGCACTTGTTAGGTGACAATCAATCAGATGAGATCATGTGACCAAAATACGAATTCACCTAATTACTTTTAATCCAGTAGATGGACGTAGCCAAAGCATGTTTAGGTTAACAAGTGCTTTTTTTTTTGTTACCACATAGGTAGAACATGTTAAAAGGACAATTTTTTTGGGGTGTGGGGACACTGGTATAATCAATGTGCTTCAGCCAATTACTTCAGGCGGTATGGAAATTTTGTGCGTGGGTGTTGCTTGAAATTGCAGCATCTACTTCTTAGATGCTATCGTTCACACTTAACTTTGAGATTTTATTCAGGACTTGATGTCAGAATCTGGAACATGTGATCCCCTGTGCTCAGTAGATGAAACCAGCTCACTAGATTTTGAAGAAACTTACCAGCCCAAGACTGATTATTTGAAAGCTCTCGCCATATTCGCAGCAGCTGCTGTTGGAGCATTGGCAATTAACCATTCTTGGGTAGCCGCTAATCAGGTTAGGTTTATCAATGTCACTATCTGTAAGTTTCATAGTAAGTGCATGCATTTGGAATTTTCTAATTCTGCTTTATTCTTACTTCTTTTAGTTCTACATGATCATCAAATACAGGATCTTGCTATGGCATTGCTATTTGGAATAGGATATGCAGGCATCATATTTGAAGAATCTCTAGCCTTCAATAAAAGTGGAGTAGGATTGTTGATGGCTGTAAGCTTATGGGTGATACGGAGTATTGGGGTAATATTCATATTTAATGTTGAAAAATAGGTAAATTCTTGATTAATCAGGGGCTTCATGCATATGTTGCCGGGGTTTTGAGATCTGGATTGCACTTTCAAGGTTTTGACTAACAATGCACAGGATGCAGAGTGACATGCATTGATGCATCTATTCCCCTGCGCATGCGTGTGTGAAATTTCATTTTCATCACCATGATGACAGTCCACCAATTGATCAATAATATATATGTTTTTGTTGCCTAAATTTGGTTATGTCTTCTTCATTCATCCTCTTCTCTCTTTGACATTCATCATGTCTCTTTGCCGCCCAAGTGATATGTATATGTTTATGATTCAGTCCATATCTGTACTCTCCTGGGTCCTTTTCAGGCTCCTTCAGCTGATGTAGCTGCTTCAGAACTGACACATGCGTCTGCAGAAGTCAGTGAAATAGTGTTTTTCTTGCTTGGTGCGATGACCATTGTTGAGATAGTTGATGCTCATCAAGGGTTTAAGTTGGTTACTGACAATATAACAACTCGAAAGCCACGCACTCTTCTTTGGGTGGTGAGTGCTTTATTCTGCATCGTGTTATCACTTCAGAAGAATTTTCTAGAGTCTATTTTGTTTTTCCTCATTTATTTGACTGAATCGGTTAAAATCTTGCATGCTTTTTTTGGCTGTCATTGGGTGATATTTGCAAGCTTTCCTCCTTGCAAAGAGATGCAGTTACCAACTTAACGTGAAGGCTATGCTGAAATGCAACACTTCTTCCGGTGTCTTATAAACTTAACTTTCATATTTTTAAGGAATAAAATGCATTATTTTTAGAAGAATGGGCAGCCGTAGAACCATACCCTTCTTCTGTCCCTACCCCCGTACACATGATGTGGCTTTGCAAATATGTTGTGCGAGACCACATAGACTATCTGTCTATAATAAGAACGACTGATATATCTGTTCCAGTAGCTATGAGGTTATTTTCTATGAAATGAAGATTTTGTTAATTTTTATTATTCTAAATTCTCTGTAGTTTATACCAGTAAATGGTATTTTAAAATGGTATTTTAAAATATTAATGTTATTTTTGCAGATTGGGTTTGTCACATTTTTCCTCAGTTCAGTTCTAGACAACCTGACATCTACAATTGTCATGGTTTCTCTGTTGCGGAAACTAGTACCTCCATCAGAGTATCGAAAGTATGTGTCTCTCTTCTGACAATAGTGCAATAATTTTCTGTTATTTTCAGTATAATACTCATCCATGCTCAAAGGACTAAATATAGGCTGCTTTTCTAAAATGCCACAACTAGAGCGAGTGGAGATATTTATTCATATTCTTGTTTTTGTTCTTTAATTTTCTTATGTCCCTTCCCCACTTTCATTTGCAGCAACTTTATAGCATCGGGTTTTCGCACCCTTTTCGTTGTCATAAAGAATAGTAGCATAGACACTTTAGGGATCTTGAGAATTTTGCTCCAAGAAAGGATATATCCCCATTTGTTTCCTCTAGCACTATATATTTTTAAGATGATACCAAATTGTGGTAATCTCTTGAATATTTAATCTGCAATTTGCATTAATTATGTTTCTTGATACTTTTATTGATGGTCATATATAGTCCATGGGTAAATCTTCTAAACTTGCATTCTTGAACATTCTCCACTTGTTTATGAGGTTTAGCTATTGTGTGTCTTCATTGTTAACTTGTGCGTAGATATTTATCTGGAGTTTAAATATGTAATAGCCACAGTTTAAACAAATACCTGGATATTTCCTGTCACCCTGCCATAGTTGTATCCCAAGGGCAAGAGTAGTGGAGGAGTGAGTCCCTCAAATCTGGCTTAATTAATTTTCATTCTTGACCCATCTGAGCCTCTATCTTCAAGTTTCTTTCAGAAACATGCTCCTATATGAGGTAGTTTTCAATGAGTTTGCTTATATCAATTTTGTTAAAAGCAACTTCTATTTATATTTAGACATCCTCAAGGGCTACTGATTTAGATTTATTGCAGGATTCTTGGAGGTGTTGTTGTTATAGCTGCAAATGCTGGTGGTGCATGGACTCCTATTGGCGATGTTACCACTACTATGCTGTGGATACATGGTCAAGTATCCACTTTGCAAATAATGAAGGTTATTTCCCTTGCAAATTGGACCTGTGTTATCTGTTTGCTTAGATCATGCTACAATCTGACCTGAAACATCAAGACACTGGTAATAAAATTTAGCAGTTGACATTGTGAGAGATTCTTCTGAGCCTTAGGCAGTGATAAGTAAAACATATGTAACGTCTTGGTCAAACTTGTCCCTTGTTGTTCATTGATCGCAAGCTCAGTGCATATGTCATATAACTGGTATCAATAAATGACTAGTGTTTGCAAGTATATTCATGATTGCATTTTCTTTTCTTACAGGGATTGTTTGTGCCTTCAGCTATCTCTCTAGCTGTGCCGCTGGCTCTTATGTCACTGACTAGGTACTTTCACTACGAAAAGTAATCTAGAAATGTGATTTGAATTGTAAGAATTATCTTAAGAAATTATGAGTTAAATGACACTAGCATTTTGTTCAGTGAAGTTAATGGGAAGGGACAGGATTCACCCAATGTCTTGGCATCTGAACAGATGGCTCCTCGAGGACAGCTTGTTTTTGCTGTGGGTCTAGGAGCTTTGATTTTTGTACCAGTGTTCAAAGCCCTCACAGGTTTACCTCCTTACATGGGAATGTTGCTTGGACTTGGTGTGCTTTGGATCCTCACTGATGCTATCCACTATGGTGAATCTGAGAGACAAAAACTAAAAGTACCACAAGCCTTATCAAGAATAGACACTCAAGGAGCACTATTCTTCCTAGGAATTCTATTGTCTGTCAGCAGGTAACTTAGAAAACCGGTGCATTGATCGATTTAAATCTAAATGAAAAACAAAAAAGAGAAAATCCCAAAAAAATGGTTGTTGAATTTCAAAATTCCAAATCAAGAATTATTACAAAAATGTGTTGTCATTTGATTTTCGAACGTGGTCATTTTCTTTATGAGTGTAGTAACCAATACTGATTTGGAATTTTGAAATTCAACCGTCACTTTTTTGGGATTTTCCCAAAAAAAAATGCATTACCAAGAATTGTGCCGGATTTCCTTTTGGGAAGAGGCAATCCTACATGAATTATGCTCACGTATTCTTCCCCTGTGAAATATACTGTTGCCTTAAATTTTCAACTTGCTTTGCATTGAACCAAGTTTAACGGTATTATTCTTTAGCCTGGAGGCAGCAGGGATTCTAAGGGAATTAGCAAATTACCTCGATGCTCATATTCCGAATGTTGAATTGATAGCAAGCGCTATTGGAGTCATATCAGCTATAATAGACAATGTTCCATTAGTTGCAGCAACAATGGGAATGTATGATCTATCCACTTTCCCACAGGATTCTGAGTTTTGGCAGTTGGTTGCGTTTTGTGCTGGTACTGGTGGCTCCATGTTAGTCATTGGCTCAGCTGCAGGAGTTGCATTGATGGGGATGGAAAAAGTGGACTTCTTTTGGTACCTACGGAAGGTATGTGCCACTACAAAGTATCAAAGATGCTGCCCTTGCCTATCAGGGCGGTTTTGTATCCATATATGATATAAAAACTTTAACAAGCCAAAATATTTATGAGCTATTGACAGTGCATCTCTTTTCTCAAACTTTATGCAATATACAAGGGCCATACTAGGTTGGTAATAGAAGCTATTTTTGTCCATTGCAGGTTAGTGGCTTTGCTTTCGCAGGTTATGCTGCCGGCATTGCTGCGTATCTAGCAGTTAACAGCCTTCACATCTCCTTACCCACAACTCTGGCCGAGATTCCTTTTCTTTCTGGTTCCTAAATGAGCAGTTCAGAGTTCACCGGCATTCCAAATATTCTTGATACAGTGAACGTTGTGAATGAAGATTGAGCGACTAAAGTATGGCTTGGACACAAGATAAAAGGCATTCTGGGAGACTCAAAATATTCCTGGATTTGATAAATTGTAAATGTTAAGAAGCTTTCTTAAATGCTTACATTACAATTAGTTAAAGTAAGAGATGTAATTTCTCATCCCCAGAATTAAAAAGGGGGGTAAGAGATGTAGTTCTGGATATTGCATGCTGCCATTTAGGTTTATTATGTGAAGTATCATCAGACCAGATCACTTTTCTCTTGAAATGATTGAATTTATGAATAGAATTCTAAGCTTTATTGTGATGGTTCCAGCAGACAGTCCCGAGTTTGGAAGGGGGAAAAAAAACCGAAATCGAGAGTCGTAAGTTAGATCCACTGAATTTCCCAGATGAGTACGAGCATCCAGATTTTTTGCCAGTTCCATGTCTCTAGGTAGCACGTTTCCATATGAATAATATGCGAAGAAGCACCCCTAATGTCATAAACATGTAAGCTTTCAACAAGTTATCCCAATTAGTAGTATAGTTCTATCATAAATATATGCTTACTCTGGTTCTAAATTTAGAAGGTAATTGAGAGTTTTTTTTTTTTGGGAGGATCAACTGGTTCACCTTAGGTAGCCGAATCTCACACCCGTGTACAGATACACGCGAGGTCCTCTCATAATTGAATTTTCTTTCTAAATGGTCACATTTACAGCCTCTTGGGGAGTTCGAGATTTTTGTTTGTATCAAAACATGATTAGTGTGATTTATGTCTCGTGGAAACCCTGAGCTACTAATGTAAAATTTATACGACATGTCGTTCGAACTCTTCAATATCACGAACAAGTCAACTTCTTTCTGAGCGCGAGTTACCAGGAAACACAAGATGACCATGGAATTCATCTCATTCCATTAATAATTTAATTATTTTTACAAGCCACTTTACGTACGAATTTGAGCTCTAGTGGCGTCGCATCCTCCACCAGACAGGAAAACTTACCTCACTTCGTCTCCAAAATTAGAAAAAAAAATGACAAACTCGAATGAGCAACAACTCGACTAAACAATTGTTTATTCTCGTGATGAAATACTAAACCCCGCTACACGGGGACCCAAAAAACCCACTATTGCAAAACTTGAATTATTCTCTTCTCACCCCTCTAAAACTACACTCTCAATAAGCCATTCAACAAAACGGTCACATTAAGCAGCCATCCCCAATCGAAATTAAATAGCCAAAAAAGAAGACAAAAATCAATCTCTCATTATAGCTTGAGGTAAACGAACTCTTCAATGGCAGGAATCTCGCCTATCTTCCTCAAAGTTTCTTTGCTAGGTTGTTCATCCACCCCAATAGCCATTACAGCGTGCTTACGAGGAGCAACCCTTCCCACGCTCATGAAGCTGACGTTTACATTCTCCTCTGCCAAAACACTTGCAACCTTTCCAATCATACCTGGTTGATCCACCTGTCTGCAAAGTATAATGCTACCTTCCAAGCTCACGTCAACATCAAAGGATCCAACCTTTGTAAGATGAGGGAGACCATCTTTCACCCGACCTTCAAGCTTAATCTCCCCAGATTCCGAGAGTGAGCTGGCAAATCTAGATTCCACATCAGCAATTTGGACCTGGATGAATTTAAGTGGACTTTCAGGGGAATCATCAAGAATGATCCTCTCCTCAGTTATCCTGAGTCCTCTCTGCTTGGCAGTGAAATCAGCATTGACTAAATTCACAAAAACACTGGATATGGGCTCAATGAGACCCTTGGTTATCATGGCACGTATAACCCGAGTGTCAAGGTCATCAGGAGCTCTAGCAGAAGCATAAGTCACTTTCACTGATTTTACACCACTTCCTCCTGCTACCAATTGGACAGCCAGTCTCCCCAATTTCTCAGCAAGGTCAACAAATGGTTTCAACTCCGTCAACACCTGCAGTTAGGAAAGATAAAATAGAAATTCAACCCATTGTAACTCTAATTTTGCAACTAAGTTGAGCCAATATTGTAAAACAATTTCAATCCATGAGTCACAGGATATCATGGGCCTCTAAGACTTCCGAAGTGGGCATTAATTCCACTAGAGCAAATAACATTTAAAACCCAAAAAAAATAAAGGAAAAAATTGTTCCATATTTATTCATGGATGTCAATCTCAGTTGTATACTAGGACTAACTATTCACAAACGTGAACAGTCATCTTTCACAAAAGCAGGTTCTTTTTCCCATTCAAATTCTATCAGTAGAAAGAATGAGAGACCAGAGAAGGATCGTGGCAACAATTCAGAATATAAGACTGCTGGGAAAATGATAAATTTCTTTTAGTACCTCAGCAGGAACCATTGGTGCGTTGACTGCAGTAGCAGCAAGCTCCCCTTTCAAAGCCCCTACAACAGCTTCTGCTATTTCAATAGCCACACCTTCCTGCGCAAAATTTTTTTTTTTTTTTTTAATGAAAGGAGATTCATTACTTCAAAATGATTTGCAAAAAGGCATAACTGCCATCACATGCCCCAAAAAAAAAAAAATGTGCCAGGAGCTATACGAAAGAAGAGAAGAAGAACAAAGAAAAGGTTGGGCTCGTGACAGAGCCAAAAATACCTGAGCTTCCACAGTACTAGCACCAAGATGAGGCGTTGCAGTAACTTTTTCATGGAGAATCAATTTGCTGTCTTTTTGGGGTGGCTCCTCTGTGAAAACATCAAGCGCCGCCTGAAATAGGAAGACATGGTTAATTAGTTTCCTTCACAGTGAGCACTGGGTGCTTACAAATAAAAGAGAGTGGAAGCACCTGAGCTACAATGCCATTATCCAGTGCCCTAACAAGAGCCTCCTCATCAATAACTCCTCCACGAGCGACATTGACTATCATAACTCCTTTCTTCATCTTAGCGAAAGTCTCATCATTGAGAATCTTTGATGTAGCGGGAGTAAGAGGCATATGCAAAGAGATAAAATCCGCAGTAGCAATGGCTTCCTCAAAGCCCACTAGTTCCACACCAATTGCCCGAGCACGGTCTGCTGGAGCATACGGGTCATGTGCAATGACATGCATACCAAGTCCCTTGGCACGTCGAGCAACTTCAGAACCAACCTTCCCAAATCCCATGATGGCAAGTGTTTTCCCAACCAGGGACACTCCTACATACTTACTCCGTTGCCATTTCCCTGGATCGACCATGATACAGGTAAATCAAGCAGTAAGGACTTTATTGATTAAATTAATTATCATAAAAGCGAGGCAAAAAAGAGGGTCCAGCATAAAAGGTAAGGAAAGACAATAGTCACAGGCCCTCAACTAGATTTTTCTCTGTCACACAAAACTACTTTTACCATGCTATAGATATGCTTCATTCTAATTCTTTAGTAAAAGGCGAAAGAATAGTTCGCTCTGTGCTCACCCCACGGCTCCGTGCTTCGTTCTAGTTCTTCAATACATACAAATCTATCGAAAGGATCTCCGATAATTTTATCATATGCATGCAAAGCAAAGATCATCAAACCTCAAAAAGTACGAGAACAGTCGTTCCTACATCCTTTGAAATGTTTGTCTTCTAAGGGGGACCATTTTACTAAGCTTACTCCCCTCATTCTCAAGCACTTCGATGCACGAGCACAATAAAAGTATGTGGAAAGACTTCAGTTTTCATGGATTACTCCAATTCAATTTAAAGCACGAAAAGAAGCATGCATAATAACAAGATCAAAATCACTCACACCCAACAGACACAAAGTATTCGATAAAATGCTCGAAATTGTAACAACGCTCAAATCGAATTCCAGCATTCAATTTACTGACCAGCTTTCACGGACGCATCAGCCTGTGCAACATTCCTAGACATGGCGGCCAAAAGCGCGATCCCATGCTCGGCGGCGGCCACTGTGTTGGCCGTGGGTGCATTCACCACCAAGCATCCATGCTCGGTAGCTGCCGCCAGATCGACATTGTCGATTCCAACGCCTGCTCTCCCGACCACCTTGAGCCTTCCACCAGAAGACTCGAAGACTTCGCGGGTGACCTTAGTTCCACTACGCACAATCAAAGCATCGCAGAGCGAAATCTTGGTGCAGAGCTCCTCGGGGCTCAGATTATATGAGCAGTCAACGTTCGCAAAGTCATTTAACAGCTTCAGCCCGGCTTCACCGAGCTTCTCCGATACGAGAATAGTGGGCTTGGCATCAAGACCCGCGGAGACCACCACCACGAGGGGCCGAGGGGATCGGGTCCTGCGCTGCCGAAGAGAGACTGAGAAGTGTGAGGATAAAGGGAGTTTGGAAGAGAGGGAGAGCGATGAGCTCCGGAGGGAGTGGGTGCGGAGGGCTTGGGGTGCTGAGGCAGCCATAGTGGTGGAGTTGGTAAGTTGGGTATATTCTGTTTTGGGCTAAAATAAAAATGCGCCGCCGATTGATGAGGAAGAATGAAAGGAAAATGCGAGGGAAGTGGCATTTTATAGTATGGAGGGGAGATTGAGTTGCACGCGCTGAGATGCAGAATTGGAAGTGTTTGCCGTTCGCCTTAACCAGAAATTTGGTCACTGAACATCCTGAGTCTGTGAGTCCCATGGTTTTTCAACGTGGGACGCAAGCAATTCCATTTCACTCAGCAACATTTGGGGAGCAGGGGACTGTGTCTGCAGTCTTTTTTTCTTTTTTCCCCTTTTTGGTGACGTCTGGGATTTGGATACTTCCCCGAACATGGAATCCGGACGCCAGTGTACTTCATGAACGGAACTTTCAAAAATGGATTTCTTTTCGAACTAGGAATCAGCCGCATTCTTTATTAGTCAGAATTAGCCTTCATCAATTTCAAGAATAAATTTTTAACAGTAACTTTCGTCATTGATACAATAGCTATATAATTAATTTAAAAAAATTAGTTAAACTGATTATTTCTAATAATCATATATTGATTTCTTAAATTATCCTATTTAATCATCTATATTGAAACTATTTCTTAATATAACCTCTTACCACAGCAATAGGGACATTTTGAAGAAAATATTATAAATTTAAAAAAAAAAATATCACATTCAAGATTAAATTCAATTATTTAACTAGTTCTTATATATTTTTTTTTGATCTGAAAAACTAGTTCTTATATATAAAATCATAGTAATTAATAATACGACAAGTGATGCAGATGCATTCATTAGTAACTAAAATTAGAGAAGAAAATCCAAAGTGGGACAGTGGGCATCTTTTCTCTTCTGGAGGAGTGGGTTTGTATATTTAAAGTCTTTAAAATTAATTTAATTTTTGGTCCCACGAGTTTGTTTTTATTTTGATTTTGGTTTATCAAGTTCCAAATCATAGTTTTGGTCTCTCAAGGAACACTATAATCTAAATATTTATTAAATTATAGGGGCTAATATTTTAAATAAAAAGAAACTTGAGAGACCAAAACTTATGATATGAAACTTGAAAAACCAAAAACAAAATAAGGATAAATTTAAGAGACTAAAAATTATATTAATCTTTTTATTTTTCTCAATATTAACTAATCTCGGACCTCTTTATGAAAAATAAATAAGATTCTTTTCTGAACCTAAATATAAGGAACTACCCGTCACTTACATTTATTTTTCAAGAATAGTTACGCCCATCAAGATAGTATCAATATAAAACTATAGTTTATTTATGATGGGATTTTTTTTGCCAGGTTATTTTATGATAGGATTTTATGACTAGTATTAAGATTTTATGAAGTCGCGCGGAAAGCATTAAAAGAAACTTTTCCTGTGAATGTGGAAACGGTGGGAAGAAATAAATAAAAACCACGACCTTGGCATAAACCAAACGGGAAAGCATTGTGCAACAATTTAATTATCTTTGCAATGTCACCCTAGATTAAGAAAAAGCTGTGTGTTATTATGCAAGTTCCAGTCCAAATCCATTCATGTGAATTGACTAAAATATTCTGTCTCAAGTTCTTAATATAAAAATTAGACAGAAAATTTATTTTAGTCATAAATATAAAATCTTACTTTATTTTATCTCCTAAATGTATGATTTTCTCCTCAAAATATTTAAAATAATTGCTCATCTTAAGGGTTGTATCAAAAGGCAATTTTAACACACATGTTTTAAGAAAAATCAACACTCATTTATTATAAAAAAAATTGACTTAATTAATTTTATTAATATTTTTAATAAAAAATTTAAATGAATTGGGTTTCCAAAACTCACTCACAATTTTGTATGTTATCTTCGCAATGGAAGAGTTCGTTTTTTTTTTTTTAACACCAGGGAAGGGTTGGTGGATGCTCGCTTAGGTGTGAGGGGTTGGTGCACAAAGCAATATTCATTATTGCGGGAGAAGTACTTGACGCTCTCCTTGGCGCGTGAGTAAATTCATATTATGTAGTGGAGCCCGCTGAATAAGTCCTGGGAGTTGTTTGAAGAGAAACGATACTATAATTTTAAAAATAATTTTATAATATATAAAATAAATATATGAAAAACATTGTTTACATTTATTAAAAAAATATTTTTTTAAAAGTATTTTTATAATTTTTCAAACAATCCTTAGTTTATAACATCGTCTTGTGCGGGGGAGATTCACGAGTTGAACGTTTCATGGTGTTTTATAATTACTCCACGAACCCTATCATTCTATCAATCGCTTTAAAAATAATTTACACCAAATACTTTTTAAAGATAGAAGTTTCATTGTACCTTTTCGACACGATAACTTATTAATGAAACTAACTTGATTATGTCATATAATTAACAGGGAATTGAAAAAAAAACAAAGAAAAGCAATACATGCACCAAGTAGCGGTCAAACTAAGCTTTGTAGTTTTTTTTGGGGGGGGGGGGGACACTTCCATTTTTCTTTTGGGAATGAGAATAAAATAATCTGATAAATAGTACTACTCTGAGTTATGATCCTAAATATAAAAATAGTTCTAAATATAAGAGCTATTTGACTAATTTGAGTAGATTAAAAAAATAAGTTAAGTTAGTTATTTATAATAAATATGTATTATCTTTCCTAATATATCCTTACTAATTAAGTTTATTGATTATAACTACCATTATCAGAAGAATTATTTTAGAAAAAAATATAAATAGATATAAAAGACAAAATAGAGATATTATATTTAGAATCAAAATAAAAATTAAACTACCCAAGGTAGTGTGCAAAAATCATTCCGTGAGATACAATTGTTCTTTTCCGAGGGCAAGTTGTGAGCACGCCCACTCTAGTTGTTAATCTAATTAGCACTCCATGCAGTGGATCCGCGTTTAGCCATAGCAATTGAAATCAGAAAACTCACCTAATATCTTGAGCAGAGATATAGAGCCTTCTTCTTCATTCTTCCCAAAACAATTGTGGCACCAACAGATCACCATTATTAGTTTCCTTAGCAATCTAAAAAGCCTTGGATCTTCAAGCAATTGTATGTGTGCAATTAAAGGGAATTAAAAAGCAGAGAAGAAGGTCGGTGAAGTAAAATTGGTTTTTGCTTTTCCAGAAGACGATTACACTTGACAATGGGAAATGATCCACAAGTCTTATCACCGCCACATCTTTAGTTTCCCACTTGACAGAGCAAACATTTTAGTGAAATTGCTCCTCCTCAGAGTGGAGTGCTTGCTCAAGGCACTTATACTTCAAAACAATGATTAAATATTGAAAAAAAAATTGAAACTGCCTAGAGAATGATTAAGATTGTGAAAAATATATAGAAAATACCTTCTCGTATTAGCGCATGCACATGAGTATTATTAAGCATAATGTGGGTATGCCTGCATTGAGGTTTAAATGTACACGTTTCTATTTTACCTATACTCTTAATACTATCAAATCTAAATATTGAACCCAAAAAAACCTAAATCTGTTTTTTTACAAAGACACTTTCTTTTTTGCCAGAACATTACATGTGAATTATTGAGTTAAAATTAAGCATTGTCAGGCCCTAAAATTGAAGTAGCGCTTCCAATAATAACAGTTTTTTTGTTTCATCATTCACACGAGCTCGATCTAACTCATTTGGTAAATAATTCATCGGAACTACTTCTATGTAGGTTGAATGTTACAAGCTTCTGGCCATAGGGGGGGTGGTTTGGAATATTACAGAATTGGACTTCGTTTTCCTGATCGATTAGCCCAAACAGCTTTACAGCGGAGATTGAAAACAGAAACTGGGAAGAAACTGGACCGATATTTCTACTTGTAAGTTCAAACACTGGATCTTCTAATTTAAATATCGGTTCTATTTGAAAAGAACACACATTTTGAATGAAATTAACATCGAATTAAACACAAGCCAAATGCAAAATTCCTTTATTTTTTTGCTTGAACTATCCACACCAAATTCCCCCAACAGATTGGCAGAAGCCAGATATACAGAGTGAATTAGATATCTGAGAAAAGCGGGATGAAATGGTTTCAGTCATGGTGCCGCAACATAATGGGAAAGATAAGCATCAGCAAGCATGCGACCCAGTTGAACTTGAGCCTCTGTAGTGAGATGAAGGTTATCTTCCTTCAATTGCAATCCCTTTGCATCCACACAAACCACTTTTGGAAGATCAATACTCTTCTGTGCTTCTCTCACTTTCTCTATGTATCTCTCATCGCCTGACGCTATGGCTACCTGTGTCCATCCCCAGATTCGTAAACTCACATTTCAATCAAAATGATATTTGATTGAAAACGAAGAAAGTGAATCAAAAGTAGGTCACCTGGATAATTGGAAGCGAAGGCAAATGAAGGTCCTCGCGAACATTATGGATGAGCTTCTCCATGTTGACTCTGTAAGACTCGGCGTCATGCTCTGTCAATGCATCACTCTCTCCTTGGTACCATAGCAACGCTTTGATCTCGCTTCCCTTCGTCTTCGCACTCTCTCTCGCTCTCTCCACCATTTCTTCGTACAGCTTCTCGCCGCGCGCCCACTCCTTTATGGCAGTGCCGCCCACCGCGCATGGCACCAATCCCATCATTCCTCCTCCCGCGTGCTGCCTCACAGCGTTGGCGAACGACATGCCAGGACCAACGCCGCATACCTTGCCAGTATCGATGTCGGCGTGTAGCGGCTCAGCGGCCGGTTCCCACCGGAGGTGAGCGCTGAGGCGTAGGATGGAGGGATCCGAGCGGCACTCTGGGGGCACGATGCCGTCCCATTGCTTGTGGTTGTGAGGATGCCTGATGACGCCTCCTCGGCCGGCCATGTTGCTTTGGCCGGAGAGTATGAAGATATGCAGATCGGAAGGGTTCAGATCGGGAATTGTGCTCATGTCCGTGGCTTCCAACAGACTAGGGTTTGCGCTCTGTTCTTGGGTTTCAATTGTTGACATGGCTTTCTCCGGCGAAGTATTCAGGATTTGGTGTCGGAAGACGCTGAAGCAGCCCCTGGATACAGATTATTAGATTTGGAACTGAAAGTTTTGCGCTTTGAAAGGTTGCTTCATCGTAATTTTTTTTTTTTAACTAAAACAAGCGTAGACAATCCTATTCAAGATACTGTTCGATACTAAATGTACCTCTCCCGATAGAGATTCAAATCTTGATTCGTCACGTAGTAAGAGGTTAGTCTCTCTTACTAGATCCAATCCCATTGGTACTTCATTTTTTTTTGTTGGGTAGAATATCCTCCTCCCACTCGAATGATAAAAGACTAATTTTTGAGAGTATTGTCAATAGCAGTAACAGGGACTCCTTCTAACAGTATTTTTTTCATACACACTCTCAAAGATCGAGCTAAAAACATAATATTTAAAGTGTCCAAATCTCTTCCACTTAAATTAACATTTGTTGGTTGGTACTTCATATTAAATTCAACGTCGGCTGGATTGATCAGTCAAGGAGGTTGGCATTGGCCCCAATAAAACAAAGAAGCAGCCCAATTCATGGTTTCAATTCCACTTCCAATTCTAATTCTTTAGTAAGCGAAGCATACTTGCCGCCTTAAAGCGGTCGGTTTAGTTCCGGAATTGCTGCATTATCTTCTACTAATAACTAATAACAAAGAATTTGGCGCCTTCTTCTGCCTACTGATATGAAGCGTTTCTTTTGACCGAAAATAGAAATAGCAGGCGGATTATGGACCTTCTGCATATTCTTTTGGGCAGATTGTAGATTACTAGATTCTTCCTCTTTTTTTTTTTTTGGACCAGAGACTAGTTTCGTTTTACTGATCCTCTACCAAGTTATTACTGACTTTCATTTCATGTCGCAGGTTATCATTATCATCAAAAAGTCAAATTGGAATCCTACTGGGCATCACTTTTCTAGGACAAGAAATTAATTAAACAGTAAAGTACTTCCTCCACTTCGATTCATGGAGGTATTTTTGGAATATTTTATATTTATATAATGTACTGTCTACGGTTCTAATTATGAGAGCTTATATATAGACTACAAACGAGGTACTCCTCCGGTCCTTATTATAAGACCCCATTTGACTTTTTATTTGGTCCTAATTATAAGACCCCAATCCATTTTGTCTCTTATATTTATGCATTTTTTCCAAGATAATCCTTCTAATAATGATAGTTTTAGCCAATATACTTAATTAGCAAGGATATTTTAGGAATGACAAAACTTATTTGTTATAAATAACCAACTTAACTTACTTCCTTAATCTCCTCAAATAAGTCAATTGGGTCTTATAATTAGGACCGGAAGAGTATTATAATTAGGATCGGAGGTAGTATTTCAAAAATATCTTTCACTGGCTAGGTATGAGTTAAGCATGGGTTACTATTAAACGAGTGTTTTTTTTTTTTTGAAAAGCTTGTACTTCTTTGTAAAAAAAAATGAAGATTCCTATGTATATTTTAACAATGTGTATTTGCTCAAAACACATCCTGTAAAATGGAGGGAGCATCTGACAACTTTCATATAAACCATATCTCTGAAACTAGGCGTAGAGGCACAATTGTCTGCCGGGGGGTGAGGGAGGCAGGTTGCGATAATGTATCATATTATCATATCCTTACTTCTGGACCTTCCATATGCCAAGGAAAGATACTTCACCACAGGTTAGCCCAGAGGCTGAGAAAGAAGCGGTATTTGGAGCTTTCCACGTCTGCTCTACTGAAGAATTTCCCCTTCGCATGTGGACTTCATCGACTTACTGTTTGTTTCACTTCTCGTCCGTTAGTGTCTGTTATGTTCGGTGTTGGGCCTATGGTGTGGCGTTGCATCAGCTGGGTCCAATGGGTATGCTTTTTATAAATTAATGGGTCAAGAAACCTCAATATGAGTGTATATATCAAATGCTCATGTTTAGTACCAGATAGCATCTCAAATAGGATTATCTCTAATAGGAGAATACATATACTTTAACATCAACAAAAAATATCACTTATCTTTTTTCTTGGACATAAAATGCCACATATCTAGTATGGTAATTTCAAACATTTAGGGGTAGTGCTATGAGAATATATGTACTCTTCCAGTATTTCATATAAAACCTAATTAAGAAGCTAATTGTAAGACCTATTTCATAGATTTATCAATATCTTTTCAAATTAATCCTATTAATATTTCTCCCAAAAATAATCAAATAGGAGAGGAGTGACAAAAATTAAAGAAGATGCTTAGGTTATTTTAATAAAAATATATTATATTAAATGATTAGCATTCTTAATTTACTTAAATTAATTAATTAGGTCTTATACTAAGGACATAAGGAGTAGTATTATATATTTTAATATCTTAAGGGATGAGTACGGATATCATTAATGTTTTTTTTCGGATATCAGATATCTTGAGTTTTAAACAAACACCCCCCCTTTTTGCCAACTTTAAACAAACATTTGTAAAGATATTTATAATAATAAACTAAGATACTAATTTTTTTTTTAAGTTCTTAAGTTGTATAGAAATATTTTGACCAAAAAAAAAATAGTAATACACTAATACAAATGGTAAAATATGTGATACATATAATGAAATACGATGCATGTATCGTATCCGATACAAACTCTTTTTTTTTTTTTGGGTGAAGTATTATTGCTTCATAGTTAATGAGCATTTTTGAAGGGACTTGAATTTATGTAAAGATTTTAAATTATTAAGTCAACTGACACACTATTATTAGGATTGGAAACAACCGAGATTCAATTAATTTTTCATTGAATCAGCATGGCTCTACTTACAATATTATCTATGCACATTATGAAGTAAAAAAAGATCATAATGTTCATATAAATATATGTACTTGTAATAAAATGCACTATTCATAAATTATGAAATGGGACCAAGCATTGACAGGAATCAGAGATATAGTCTCTTTTAGTCTTCTAGTTTACATGCTTCTTAAACCCCCACCCCCCAAAACCCAAAAGCAAAAAGAAAAAGGGAAAATCCACACAGTAAGCTCTTAATTCTGGTGATGGCAATGAAAATAGCATTGAAAGAGCAAAAATCTGAGGGATATTCTAACCAGAATTTTTTACTGCCATTGTCGTCAGAGCATGTGCAGGAGACAAGTTTGAGCTGACACAGCTAATTGAAATTACTACTAGCGAGTGAAGCCAGCTTGAAACAGTTATGATCCTTCAACCACCCAGAAAGCCATGCAAACTCAATCTTAACACTCACTACCTCAATCTTGACACTGCTGTTTTCCTCATCAGCTTGTCAGGAGGCGACAACTTTTAAGGTTTTTCTGCTTAGTAATTAAAATTTCTTGGCGTTGATATTGTATTTTTCCGGTTTTTAATATAAAATCTATATAACTAATTTGATTAGATTAAAAAGTTAAGTAAGTTAGTTAACTATAAGAAATATAACATGTTTTTTTTAAAATACCATAATCATCTTTCTTAATATCCCCGCTCCTTTTTCTATTTGATTATAGTTGAGAGAGTATCATAGAGGTAATTTAAAAAAAAATTAATAAATATAAGAAATAGATCTTATATTTAATATTAAAATCAATTTAATGATTAATCTTATATTAAATACCGGATGAGTAAAATCTAAGGAGACAAACACCGCAAGTAACTTTCACAGGTTACAGACGAAGGATTTGATTCCGCAATCAAACTTACAATGATTTCCTCGATCACACAGACAAATGGTCATCTTTCTTCTTCCGTGCACACTCTAAATCAACAAATTAAACAACACAAGAAATGCAAAAGCTAAGAACTTTTGATCTAAAATCCAGGCCTAGAGCTAAGATACACGACCGCAGTGGGCGGTCAATTAGCTGCGAATCATCTTTTCTAACATGTGTAGAGCTTCTTTCATGGAGGGTCTCTTCTGTGGGAGAGAAGAAGCACAAGTAAGCCCCAGCTTGAAGCACCCTAATATAACATGTTCCTTATTTTCGATCTCAGACCTTATGGCCACATCAGCCACCCTCAACACCCTAATCCTCTCCTCCTCCACGTCATCACACTGCGGCCACTGCCCTATGTCCAAGTCTGAGACAGATCTCCCACTGAGAAGCTCGAGCAAGACAATGCCAAAGGAATACACATCGCACTTTGGGTTGGGTTTGAAGCTTTGGAACCACTCCGGTGCTTGATAGGGCATTAGGTGGGTCCCACCAGAAGACGAACTCATCGGAGGGAGGTGGTCTTGCTGTTCATGTTGGCTCTGGTATGCTATTTGGCGAGATGAACCGTTGGCTCTGAGGTTGAAGTTGTTGGGGTTGCAGAGGATGCGGTCGAGGCCGAGGTCGGTGATGACGGGTTCCATGTCGGAATTGAAGAGTATGTTGGAGGGTTTGATGTTGCCGTGCACATGTTTCTTGTCGTGGACGAAAGCTATGCCTCGTGCTATTCCTCTTGCTATCTTCAGCCGAGCCTCCAACGCCAAGCTCGATGCCGATGACCCTGTTCTTCCTGAATATTTTGTTCACTCTGTTAAACTTTATTATTGAAAAGAAGATGATGATTTGAATTCACGATGCAATTTTTTTTTTTCAATTAACAACGTTAGTACAATCTAAACTCACGTCATCACAAGAAGAAAGATTCAAAGCAAACTGTGGACTGGGGAGTAATTGTGAACAGTAACTTTAATGTTGGCGGGGCCAAAAACGAGGGAAAAAGAAAACTTTAAACTTACTGTGACAAAGGTTGGCGAGGCTTCCATTGGGGACGTAATCACAGATAAGGAGCTTCTCATCCATTCCCCAGCAGAATCCACGAACTCTGACCAAATTGGGATGACGAATCTTGGCGATTGTTTTTACATGATTCTCGAAATCCTTCATCCCCTCTACTGCACATTCTCCAATCCCTATCCTCCTCACAGCATACGCTCTTCCATCCTCCAGCACTGCTCTGTACACTATGCTCCCTCGGCTTGTTCCCAGAATATACGCCGACGACGTCAGTAATGTCTCTAGCTCCAGCCTCGTCTCTCCATCCACTGTCACAAACCTCCCTTCTTTCCGGAGATTCTCGTTTTGGGTCGTCATTTCAGTCTTCTTATTATTATTCTCTAGGTCGCTGTCGGAGCTCGTTGCTTCGGACGTCTCCTTGTCGTCAACAGCTAACCAGAAGCAGGGGATTGTGGATTTTTTGACTTCCGGGTCTTGTTTCGATGCAGTCTCGATAACATTTTCGGTGGATTTAGCATCTTTTTTCTTCCGTTGTTGGTAGACCAAGAGAACAATTGCGACTAAAAGACCTATTCCGGCAATGTCGCCCACGACGATTCCGGCTATGCTGGATGGTTTGAGGCTATTTGTTGGCCTATTCTGAGACCCATTGGGGGTTCCTGAACTGTTTGTTTTGGGGTTGGCGTCAATTGCTTTGGGCATGACTGCAATTGCTGGTGTTGATGAGGTGGTGGAGTTGGGTGGGTTTGAACCAGTCGAAGTAATAGAACAAATGACTTTCAGGGGCTTTCCACAAAGATCAGAATTCCCAGAAAGTGACTCAGGTTTCTGGTTAAGCAAAGCCAGAGACTGGGGTATTGGACCCGTTAGATTGTTGAAGGAGAGATCTACTGTGGAGTTTCCAGGTATCTTTTTGGCAAATTGTGGTGGGATTGTTCCTGAAATTTTGTTGTAGGAGAGGTTCAAGTATTTCAAGCTATCCCCGCCAAAGTCATCTGGTAAAGACCCATTAAGCAAATTCGAAGACAGATCTAAATTCTGAACAGAGTGAAGCCCACTTGGAACTTTACCAGAAAAGTAATTACTCCTCAAAGAAACAAAGGTAAGATTTTTCAAAGTAATGAGACTTGCTGGGACTGACCCAGCAAAGGCATTGTCAGATAGGTTTAAAAGTTGAAGAGTTTTCAACTGACCAATCGACTCTGATAGCTCACCGGCGATGACATTGCTGGCGAGAGAAAGAACTCGAAGCTCAGAAGCGTTGAATATGGAATTGGGTACAGACCCATTAAGGAAATTGTTGGAAAGATCAAGCTCCCGGAGGTGTTCGATCATCCCAAGGTCTTCAGAAATCGAACCCAGAAGCTTGCTACTGGGAAGAGCCAAACTGGTCACTCTAAACTTCCCTCCAATTTTTGTACACTTGACTCCATTCCACGAGCATGATGACTCATCGCTGTAGCTCCAATTTTCTAGGACTGAAAGTGGGTCGCTGAGGATCGAATACTTGAAGGATAGCAAGAGAACCCCATCAGGGTTCAGAGCAAATGATCGAAGAAGAAGAAGAAGAAAATGAAAGAATAAAACTTTACACCCAAAATGAGGGTTCCTGGAGTTGGAGTTCATGATTCCTTGAGATGATGATGGCGATACAGCATAATGGCAGAAGCTATGATTTCATGGTGCAGAAAAAGGGAAGGGAAAAGGAAGCAAAACGGAGATGGTGAACAACTGCAACTTCCTTCTTCTGTTGACCAAATCTTCAGAGAATTTAATGGAGAACTATTTCTATGAGCTGCTCCTAGCTACGATGTACTAGGTGAAGCAGACAAAGTGGGAGCAAGGAAACCAAAATGATTGAATGGATGGGGAGAGTAATAGCAGAAAGAGATGATAAGGACCAGGTGAACCCAACAAATCAGAAGATAATAATAAAAGAGAGTTTCATGGTACGGTTCTGCCAACTCTCCCTATTCAACTCAGAGAACTAAGCCGCTGCTAATCATAACCGGCAAAAATATAAAAGGAAACGAAGATGTATTTGTCTGGAACCACAAGACACCCAGCTGAGTTGGGGTCCATAACTTGAAGCAGGGCGTTTGATATTCCTTCCCAGCCAACTTGGTGAGTGAAAAATAAATTATTGTGAGTCTGTATTTAGAATGACTTATAAATAATTTATAAATTATTTTTTAATAATAATTTACGGAATGTGATATAAATATGTAAAAAGAATTTTATCTCGATTTATATAAAACGTGTTAATGAAGCCCGTACCAACAAATCGACTTTTGAACACAAGAAATCCACGGCTAATTTTTTTAAAATAAATAAATTTTCTTGTATACCAATCCTTTCATATTTTTAATAGCTGATAAAAGTAGTTCTATGTTAGACAAAAACTGTTCTATTTTATTTGGTCACATGGGAACCATCAATATTGCGTTTGCAGTAGATAGCTAGTAAATGGGGACGAGCATTTGTGCTTTTGCAGATTGCTACAGTTCTGCTCTTATTATTAAACTTAGAGCAGCCACACTCACGCATTATAATAATCTTTCCTCTTTTTTAATTTACTCAATAAAGACCATCAAAAGATTTAAGAAACACGTGGTGTATAATCCTAACTCCACATTATTTTTTATTTTTGTCACGAACAACATCGATTTGGTCTAACAGCTATATGAAGAAGGCCACACTTTTCCTTGGATCCAAACATATTTTATCTTAGTCATTGGCTTATAACCATGGTAGAGTCAGATTAAAAAAAATTGTTTTTTATTAAACAAAATTGATGGTTTGACCTTGGGAATAAAACAAATCACGTTAAGAGAACTACTTTTGATTATGTTTTGACAACTCCCTTTAAACTACCATATAGTTCGTTTAACGTACTGGCACATTCATAGACATATTCATTATTTCAGGTATGATTTTCTGATATATTTTCTGACCAAGAATGCTCATAGTTTGTGGGAAGAGACAAATCTTTCACATCAGACTCCTTTTTTCTCAGGGATGAGAGCGCTGGCCAAGAGCAATAGATATGTTGATACAAGCAATGTGTCTCTGCTCAAATAATTTCATCTGAAAAGTGAATAGGGATTAACATCAGAACTTACACATTCTCACAGGGCAGTTCAATAGCAATTTGGAAGGAGCTTAACCTGTAGAAACAGTACTATCAGATAAAAAGTAGGTGAAAGAAGTTCTAATTTCATAGTCATTTACTTTTTTAATTGCATATGTCCACACGTTGGACCCCTTTAAGCTATTGTGTGGGAGCTAAGAGGAAAAAAGGAAAGGGGAAAAAGATTAGTTGCTAGTTATCTTCTCTTCAATTTCTTCATGTGTTGAAAATAAATTAGGGAAAAGAAAAATAAAATATTAAGTAATTGGCTATAATGCCACTTAATTTTTTTTCACTTTTGCATTATTTAAATTTTGTTCCAGGCAAGAATATTGAAGGCAGACGTCACATTGATTTGCCCAGCTCATTGGTCCCTAACAAAACAGAATCTGCAGTCAGCTTCAAGACTTTGACATTTTTACAAAAAATAACAAATTTTACACTCACACACATGCAAGCATGTGTACTTCTAAAGATGAGTGTGAATAATTTGGATTTTTCTTTCTTTTGCTCTGTAGTTTTTCCCTTGGAAAGGAACCGCAGAGACAGAGGAGGAAGCAAGCTAGTGGGCGCGAAACTATTGAAGTTCACATGCATTATTAATTATATGATTATTTGGGGAAGAAGATGAACTATGATTGGCCAGGCTCATGTAAAGTAGGACAGAAATTCTACATGTTCTTCCAAAATTCTGCAGAACTCAGACAATGGTCCCCTTTTCAGTTTGTGAAAGGCCTCTATCTGAGTATCTGTCCTTCAACTTTGATCAAATTTCGTGCAAAAGATTATAAGAGTGACCATCTTCTTCTTCTCTCATACGGCACAATCATTGGAAACGACCATAAAACAAGAAGCAAAAGCTAAACCCTTGTCCCTTCGCTTTGTCATGGGCTGCTAAATATGGGTCTCTGTCTCAGAGCTTGTGGTGAAACTCACAGTATAAGCTTCTCATATGGTTCAGGTTGCCTTCAGTGACACTTTAATGCAGGAGAAGAGAAACTAAACCAAAAGAAAAGGTAAATCATACTGTCATTTTTTTGAGATGTAATATAAATGTGCAGAAGCCACGCAGGTCAAAATTGCATATTATGGGTTGTTTACTTACCTCCATTAATGATGACGTTGTCTGTTCACATGTTTACCTGTGTCTGAACAGAGCTAGAAACAACATTAAAAGATTTTGAGGTCGAAGACAAGAAGGCTTTTATTATCTGGTTGAATGGAGTTGCCCTCGTGACAGGTTCTCTGTCTTTGTCCTCCTTATCTCCAAAAACAGGGATTCCATTGTGTGTAATATATCTCATGCCAATAAACTAATACTTTTTGAATGCCCTGGCCCTAGTTGTTATTTACAGCTATTTATTATCGCTTTTCCCCGATGAAATCTGTCAAAACTAATGTGCAATTCAAATTTTCACTCTCTCTGAGACGAAGAGGCGTGACAGACACAAACGAAGGAAAAAACAAAAGCAATTATCGTGAGATGTGATATTGACAGGATAAGTTTCAAATTTATATCATTGGCTCTAATCAAATATATCTTACTCTAGAAGGCTATGCCTCCATATTAATCCAAATATGTTCTATAAACCATCACCAGTGTCCTTAAGTCTGGAAGTCAAAATGATAAGGAGGTTTCCAAAGTTATTTAATTTGTTACTTGGCCCTCAATACGTCAATATGCTGTCTTTTTTTTTCCCCCCCGAGTTGTACTTTTTTTAAAAAGAACTATCTCCAACTTATATTTTAAAATTTAAGCTAAACTAAGTTATTCATCAAAATAAAATATGAAAAGGAAAGAAAAATGTATTCCAAGTCATGGTTCGGGACGGCAAGGTCAGATTTTGGGCTCTATGGACTATGATTGTGAACTTTCAACAAGCCCATGGACCTACTTCTTTATATTTGGGCCCAAAGCCCAATAACAGTATCCTCGATGTCCCAAGTCGAGAAGCGGAACTGGTTCAAATCACCTCGAGGGTGTGCCTTCAGAAGGTGGGAACAACTGATACTTCCCTTGTCGTAGTAGCAAGAATGCAAACGCTACTTTTGCCGGCTGCTCGCGCCGGCATTTTCACGGCGACGACGCCAATTTCGTCGGCAGCTTCTGCCAACTTACCACCTCAGCTCCCGCGACTTTTGCGCCGGTCGAATTCGTCGCCCTTGCATTGTGTCCCCTCGTTCAAACCCTTGCAGTCACTGGCTTCTTCGTCTTCCGCTTCTTTCCCTCTTGGTGCTGTCTATCCACTTACAAAGCACCCCTTCTACGTAAATGCTTCTTCTCAGGTTTCTACTGCTTTCACTCCCTCCAATGATGAATCAGAGAAAGCGAAACTTGCTCAGGTATTCCCTCTCTTACCCCGTCCTCTTCTGTCTCTATCTCGCTAGGGTACGTCTTTGAATTCCTCCAGCATGGTCAATGAATTAACTTCCTCTTGGTTCTGGATCATTTCCTGACCAATTTAAATTCTATTTCTGGGAGAGATGCTTCTTTGATCAACTTGGTTTGTGTTAGGCAATGGCAATCATTATTTATGTGTTACATGACAAATTTCGCGGTATGATTGCTGCAGGTTTCTAAGAGACTGGAGAAGACTGCTAGGTATTTTAAGCGTTTGGGTAGTTTAGGATTTTGGGGTCAGCTGGTCTGCACCGTGGTGGCTGCTGTAATATTGTCCTTTTCTGTTGTCATTACTGGAAAGATCACATCTCCAGTTACTTTTTATGCCACTGCTGGTGGAATAGCAGCTGCTTTTGTTTCTGTGTTCTGGTCATTTGGATATCTTCGGCTATCTGAAAAGCTTCAAAAAACTTCCAATGAGCCTACCAAGGTACTGTTTTACTTGAATGGAGGTGTGATGCTTTTAAATACTAATTATTGGAGACCATATTAGCTGCTGTATGTCACCTTTTATGAATTAATGGTAGTCTTAGCAATACTTGACGGTGATATAAAATTGTCTCATGCTTTTTGGATCAAAGCCTCCCTACATGAATTTTGTTGGCTAGCCTTGGATATGCTAGATGAGGTGAAGCACATATTTAAAGATACTGAGGCATGGAATCATACTTTTTCTTGGCATGTGGAAAATGAGTTGCTGAGGGCTGAGGCAATATTAACCTCGTTCCTTTTCTGTTCCTAATAGTCTGATGCCTTAGAGGTTGCTTCTTGGCATGACATTGGATATTTCCTTGATTCTTGTCAAACATGTTCTTGCTAATGTTTACCTCTTCTTGTGCTCTCAGGCCCCCCCTCGGGCTGATGTGGTAAAGAGCTTGAAGAATGGTATAGGACTGAACATTTTGGGAATGGGTGCTACCATTCTTGGCATGCAAGCCACTGTTGGATTGTTGGTTGCCAAGGCTCTGACTTCCTCAGCCAACCCATATTATCAGGGAATCTCTCCTGGATACAGCCCGGTTCTTGCATTGGATGTATTTTTGGTGCAGGTAAAACTTATTGGTTCGATAACTAATTTTCTCTTTACAAGGATTATGTTTAGTTTATTATGTTGTGGTCTTATGATTCTATTGTGAGACAAGGGATCATCTTATTGGGACTTGAGTCTCACCTTGGACATATGACTGATGGATTTCTCTTTGCCACTCAGAAGAGCTCTACCTGTTGGGTTCTCTTGCTGCTGCTAATGCCTTCTTGTGTTTTCAAAAGTAAACTAGGAAACATGCGTTGACTACTAATATAACCTGTTCTTTTTATTTCTTTCCTGAGTGAAGTATGATAGTTGGAGACTTGGATCTTCAATTGGCAATCTGATTGAGACAAAATAACAAAATTGACATATTGGAAAGAGCACATCTGACATGGTTTGCTTCAATATCTTAGATATACTTTCAGGCCAATAACTTCTAATAGTTTAAGAGTTGAGCTTTTGCCATCTGGCTTTTAGCAGTATAAAAGAAAAATCTTAACTGAGGTTCATCATGTTTCTGAGCTGTGGGCTAATAGAAAATGGTCTAAGGGCATATGCTGTTTGCCCAAAATAGTGTACCCTTAAAATAGCATGTTTTGTATTATTAATAACCCCAAAATAGTACCAATGTGAGTGTAGGAATTGCAATCATCACTTAGGTTTATAAAATCCAGCGTTCAAAGCTTCTTTATTATTGATTTAGTTGAATTCATGAGATGCAATCCCCACGTGTCCATGTTTGATTTGTTCGTGCCAGTAACATGTATTGATTCAATGCACTCCAATGTAACAAGAGGCTCAAAAGGAAAACATAAAAAGTTAGTGGAACGAGCTATGCTGAACATCTGTTTTGTCCTTGTCTGATTTACAGGCTTCAGCAAACACAATTCTCTCTCATTTCCTTGGGCTTGTTTTCTCACTTGAGTTGTTGCGATCAGTCACCTTGCCTCCTTCAGAAGCTACTTCAATCCCCAAGCTTGCATAAGGCATGATTGAAGACGAGTATGATGTAATTACAATTAAAGATGTATACTCCTCATTTGCAGTGGTTATTTTCGTGATGAATTTTGTAACCATTTTAAATCTCGCGCATTATGTGATCCTCTTACAAAGCTTTTGGCATAATGTATTTCTGAGTAGAAAAGGACCAGCGGGATGTTGTCTAATAAGCATGATATCATGTGAAAATTTGAGAACAACTGTCCCAACCTAAATCACGACGGCAGGAGTTTGCTGTGCAGTCCATAACTTGTAAGTTTTTTAAGTTCCAACATGATGGTAGCTTCTCACGGAGAAGCGGTGCAAGAACATTACGCAGAAAGCGTATGTATATCATTCAATATTTGATTTCATTTCTGGATCGGTTGTTTGGTTGTCTAACAAAAGCCGTAGGCTTGTTTGTTTTCCTGTCTGATAGTGATAGGAGAGTTCTTGCCATGCCTTGGGACTTGTTTGGAGTTTTTTTTTTTGGACCAGGTTTGGAGTTTGTTATAATAAGTGCTTATAGGTATGTTCATATAAGTCGAGATAAAATTTTTTCTCACTTGCTTATCTCATGTTTCATTAATTATGATTGAAATGGTGTTTTTGAAACACAGCATTTGTTTATCCCCTTAAGTTATAAACTCTAAATGGAAAGTAATATCCCTTAATGTAGGATTGCAACCATGAAAATCTTCATGTTGGTGTTGCTATAGTTCCTAATATAAGATTCAATTGGAGAGTTAATGGTAGTTTTATATGTAAAACTTATCTGACGTATTTATTAGTTTTTTCAAATTAACCCTATTAATATTTTTTTAACAATAATTAAGTAGATTAGGGAAAAAGAAAATTAAGGTAGGTATTACATGGTATTTTAAAAAAAAATATATCATATTAACCAACATAATTAATATTCTTAATTTATTTTAATTAATTAATTACATCTTACACCAGCAAGGGCGGCCACCTGAGAGTTTCTAATCCTTGTTTGGCTTACAGGATTTTTTTTTTTTTTTGGTTGGGGCATTTTCTCCTTTGACAGTTTTCCCTCCCCGCGTCTTTGTGATAGATTACGTATCCCAAGTGTACTTGTAAGTGCCTAGTCTGAATGCATTATACTTTCAGTAAAGAATATTAATATTAAACACTTGAACAAGTTTACCTGACTCTGAACATGGTATCAACCGTGAACAATTTAAGATCCACGGATTTATTCACGATGGCCGGAGCAACTGGGAACTGTTCGCAATTCGGACTAACGTGAAATTCTTTTTTTTTTTAAAAAAAAAAAAAGGCCAAGTCTCCCCCCCCCCAAAAAAAAAAAAAGGAATACCAACATGAGGATTGTAAAAACATCTTTCAAGCGACTGCCATCTTCAATGAGAAGAATAGCTGCTGCCTAGAGCGCGGGGAGGAGGTGACCACCAAATGTTGTTAATAGGATACATGCGGAACATGGAATAATTATGGTCTAAGTAAACTTGTGGCCGACGAAACACGTGCTATCCCCAGAAGTTAAACATTGCCAACCCAAATATGCAGAACTAACTAAACTTTTTGAGCGTACATGCTTCAACTAATAGTATAGAATACTGTGTAATGGCACAGGGTACGAGTATTGAGTAGTACAAAAGAGATTATAAATTCAAGAGCTATATCGTGCCATGTATGAAAAATAATAGCGAAGGCAAGTTTTTCTTAAAATTCATGAAATTCTCAACAAACTTTTACATGATCAATTATATAAAGAACTGAAATAAAAGTCAGAATATATCACATATTCAAGCCAAAACCATGCATGTTACAGTTCTAAAGATTTCCCCCACTCTCTCTCTCAATCCAGAGGAAGGCATAACATGGGTAAGAACCAAGAAGCCCGTTGTCAAAATTCATAGAAAAGGATCTCTCCGGGGAAACACAAAAAGTCAGAAGAATCGTCACCTATTATGAAGCTACTAGTCAACTCCTGCTTCTGAAGAACTAACACACCATCTAATCTTGAATGTAAACAGCAACATCCCAGCTAAAGCACAATCTTAGTACTTCGTAATTCATATCTCAAGAATCCATTTCTACACCCCCTAGCTAGACTGAGGGATCCACTTGCATTCTGAATATCAAACAAGCAAGAAGTTAACCCAAGAAACCAAGAGACTTGAATATGTTCAACGATTCCTAAATAATGAAGAAAGAAATTCATAAAACTCAGACTTAACGAATTAAAACACACAGGTCAAATGCTTTATATACAACATCTATTGCATTCAGTATTGACGAGTAACTGGAAGTTCCAAGGATATGAAAATATATCGCATCAATTCTACACTATCAAGAAATATCAAATTAAATATTCACAGGCTCAATCTCAAATTCTAATACTTAGATAAGCTCATTGCCCTTTTTAATCCTCTTTTACACCTTTCTCACTTTCTGTGCTTGCTACTAGAATCACACACCGTCTAAGTTGATCAAACTTTTACGGTGATAACAATTTATTTATTATAATTAGGTATCATAAAAACTATCTGAGGAAAGCACAAATTACTCGGACAGCATGAAGAGGGGTTGAAGAGCCGTAAAATAGACAGATGGACCATAGCATTGTCCTTTCTTTTTGTTCTCTCTTCTTTAGGTCAGATTATGCTTAAACATCAGTCTCGAAAGTAGAGTTTTGTCCCTTGAAAATTATTGTTAGAAACAGATAAATCATGATTCATGAGACTGGACAGTGATCTCACACATCTACCTAGCATGAAGATTCTCCCAGACTGGAGGAAGAAGTAAAATAAGATGAGATAGATAATAATATATTCTTGCATAGTTGCATGCATGGGCATTGCATTACTTAATAGACAAACCACTTTTCAACATAATCAAACAAGACTTAATAGTAAGGTAGTGTGCATTATCTACATCAACCACACACAAGTAAACGGATAGTATGTGCTTACCTAATCCATCTTCTTTACTTTGTTTGAAGGTATAAGAATCTTCCTTAGAAATTTACTGTCTAACTTTTCACACCGTGCCTGAATTTTCCCATGCACCATATACAACTTGTCGTCAATATGGTCCTGGTACTTGTCATACAACAGAGGAACTGACAAGCCAAGAAGAACGCCTGTATGGAAATAATCGAAATATTAGAAGCAAATAAAGATACAGAGAATTTTCAAAATGCAATATGCGTGTTTAAGCAAAACTACAAAAGCAGAGGACTTACAAATATAGACCAGGGTCAGAAAGTTCAACAGACTACCAACAAAGGAGATAAGCAACAATGCGGCTGTAATCTGATTTCCAAGCTCACATAAAAAAAAAATGTCAATCCAAAATGCTGTGCTGTAAAGGAAGTTCTTCAAGTTATGGTAACAACAAATAAGGGAAAATTTTCACCTAATTTATTTTTTTTAGAGAGAGAGAGAGAGAGCCCAGGGAAGAAATGAACCCCGCACCTGAAGGCAAAGTATCAAATTTCTCTCAATTGCTATTTCATGCGCAACTGACAAAGCTCGATTGATCCAAATTTGCAGTTCATCGGCAGCCTTAGCAACAGACTCCTCGGATATTTCCATATCAGGGAGAGGAGGGAGAGGTCTGCAAGAGTTTTTTTTTTTTTTTTAATCAATTTCAAATGAAGAAAGGATAATGACAGTTGTCCGTTTAATCCCTTAGGCAATTTTCATAACCCACCCACATGTGTGTGTGTGTCCTCAGGGAAAGCAGATTCATTTTAAAAATTGTTAAGAAAGCATCCGAATACATTTTCTTTCAAAGCGATTACTTCTAGCTTATCCCTTTCAACTAAATATAGAAGAAACAGCAGTAATCTCTCACACCGAAGACGTTTGAAAGAAACTCATTAATTCCAATAAAGGACAAGAGATTAAAGGGATCAAGAATTTAGAGGAAGCAGGACGGAAATACCTATTGAGGAGGGAAGCAGCTTTGGCCCAGAAAAAGAGAATCACGACCAGCAGCAATAGAACATTGGACACAAAAGACAAGAGATTATATCCGGCGCGCTCGAATAGGTACCACATTACCGTAGACGAAAGCAGAACCGTAAGCCCTCCGCACCAATTCTTCCAAAGCAACACGTCCGCAACTGAGAGAGTTAATAGATGCAAAATTTAATCAAATCTCAATTTGCCGAAAAATGAAAACATAAAAAATGAGGACGACCAATAACAAGACACGACATTGGATGGAATGCAAGATCAGTTCCTAATTATCTCTAACTCGAAGAAATCAATGTTATACTGTACTTTGTGGTCACATTGCTAAGAGAGAGGAAGATCGGGAGAGAAAGAGAGAACCTAGGCCACCGCCGAGAGCCTGATGAACGGATATCCGACGAGAAGATTCGGATTCTCCCATGGCGATTAGGGCTTGAGCGGGAGAAAGAGGAAAGAAATAAAATGCGAGCGATATATTTGATTGTCAATATTTTATAAGGGTGGTTAGATTCAGGCGAGAGGAGGTGGGTATGAAGCCGTTGAGGAGTCGCAGTGTGAGGACTCCAGAGTGCCAAGGGCTAAAGCTGAGGAACAATCCCCACAGTTCTTCCACGACTTCTTGAATTTTGTCGTTTTGAGGTTAGAATGGGAAAACGACATACACCCACCATCTCTGTTATGGTCTGCTAATTTGGGCTTCTTCGGCCCAGTGATCAGCCTGCATGTTGTCCGCCGGCATCTCGCCTTGCGGCTTATGAGCGAATCCCTGTTCACCTATGCCCCGGGGGGAACCCAAACGGATTTGATGCTTGCTTCTTTTGCGCAGAGAGCAAAGTAATCTAGACGTCTTATATTAACCCCCCCCCCCAAAAAAAAGAAGTTACATACATAAGTTTAATTCAGTGAAAATGTAATGTAATGTATTGTACTAGACTGTCCTTAATATAAAAATTAATTAGAAATTGAATTTAGTTTCAAGTATAAGATCCATTTTGTCTTTTATTTTTTTCTTCCAAATATCTCTATTAATTGTAAAATGTTTTTGTCAAAAGGTAGTTCTAATCAGAAATTTTAGATAGACCAACATATATTTGAGACAAATAATTAACATAACTCATTTTCTTAATATCTTAAAATTAATTATCTTGCTTTTATATTATCTCTGGTCCTAATTATAAAATCTCATTTTGTAGTCTACAAAAATGAGAGGTTTATAATTAGGACCAGAGATAGTATTAAGGACCAGTTAGTATCATCTACAGTGTTCAAGTCACAAGGTTCACTTTGGACCATGGAAGAATGAAATAATTTGTGATTCTCAGTTTATATAAACCATCGATATAAAAGTACAGCGGTGTAACGAAATCAAAGGAAACCCATCGATATGTGTAAGCTGCCGAATAAAAAATATTGATTACTCAGAGCCCTATCTATTTGTCTAAACTAACCCAATAGACTGTCTCTTTCCATCTGTAAATGGCCGTGATGCGATCGAGCAGGGATCAAATCCAACATTATTAGAAGATTTAGAGGCAAAAATTAAACATTAATAAATTTGGAGAGGAAAATTCCTGGCAGGTTCTCAATCACGTGACAATTGCTAACTCTGTGAATTACTATAAATGCTGCCCATTAACCGATGCTTTAAACTCTGGAAGAAGAAAAGTGTGTGTGTGTGTGTTTGCTTAAACAAATACATGTTGTTTCACTATCTGGTCAGACTCTGTCGTCTATCGTCCCATTTTTTTTAATCACCCACATGATATTGAACCTGCTTTCCCCAGTACTCATTGCTACCCTCGATAAATTATACGTCATCATCATCAACCCACCATTACGGCACAGCTGCCTCCCATCCCTTTCTTGGAACTTTCTGTTTCTGCTACTACCATGGAGGGAGATAAAAAATCTCTCATCAAAATGCTACTCTTCGATCCTATTTATAAAATATTTATAATATATTTTATATAGGCAAAAAAATCTTAAACTGTATTAACTTTTTATTAAATATAATAACTTTCCAACTTTACTCTTATTTAATATATACACATTTCAAAAAAACTAGGTACATTATAATAAATAAAAGATAATATAGTATATTTATGATAAAAATTTAACGAAATAACTTATAAAGAGAATAAAAAAAATCTTCTCTCTCTGTATAAATAAAACCAGAGGAATATCAATTAGACACCATGATTTTGGATACTTGTTTCCGAATTGAGCACAAAATTTATTGGCATTTAAGTTGTTTATTTTATAAAAAGTTTAAAAAAAAATAAAAAATTTGAGACAAAGTCCCTCTGATTACTTTCCTTAATAAAAATTCAAATGGTGTAAGAATTTGCTCTTCCCATTAAACTCACATAAAGGTTGAAAGGCAAATGGGGGACCTTTGTTGCGCAGTTGTGTTTGAGCACGAGGATAAGCAATACCGACCATAAGACGGTGGGAGGAATCCGTTATGGTAGTTCAAAATGCAGGGTTCGTGGTTGTAAAATGGGATATGCATTCAGGCGGTGGTTGGTGACCGCCTCGTGTCGGTGAGGTGAGGCCGTTACGGCCCTCGTCCGTGCTCCTGATTGACAGCCTGGACTGACAACTTGTCAGTAATGATCCGTTCTCCAATTCCGCGTCCACTCTTGTCTTTTTCTCCACGTCATCACCACCCCACCACGCCCCAAAAAAAGATCCAATCACAAATTACACGCAAACCCATAAAACCACACGCCACTCATCAAACAAATATGCCTTCCAGCCTGGCTCGGTCAAACTCGTTCTCGACCCCGCGCCTAACCTAACCGTCCCTTTATCTCGCAACAAATTCTCGTGATATCCCCCTCCCCCCCACCACACTCTCTTCCGTTGCTAACCCCCATAACTGTTCCGAGTCAAGCTAGGAATTTAGCAAACTGCCCATTAGTAACTAAAACTACTACTATTATTTTCTCTGTTTCAGCTGAAACTTTAACTATATAATTTATTTATTTAACTAATGCCAGTTTCGTCGTCTCTTGGGTAAATTTTCATATCGCCCGAGATCTCAGTTGCTTTTTTCATATACCAAAAAAATCGATTTATTTCATAATATATAATTAAAATTATTCAAAGCCTTATACTATACCGCTGTATAATTTTTATTTCTCCCAGTAAAAACATAATATTAGTTTCTTGACCCGTAATATTTGAGTATAATCTTCCATGTATTTTATATCTAATTAAATATATTTACATATAAAACTTAATGATTGTTTTTGAAAAAACTCCGTGCCTGCGCGGCTAGGCCTGATGGTTATCCAGCTGTAACGTATGGAAACCGATAACTGAGCAACACCGGTTGCCCTAACGGCTCTAACCTCTTTTGGCTAACCGGCTGAGTCAGTTACGCTGACCCTCAGTTTATAAACCCGCCTACGTCCACTTTGCCCAGCCCTCGTTATCAGAGGAGGCTCCTCCTTCTCTTCACCCTCACCGCCTCATTTGAGTGATACTTAAAATTTTAAATTTTAAACTTAAATTTATCTCTTGATTTACCAAAGATTCGTAGGGTAGATTTCTTGATTCAGTGTTAGTGGTTAGTTCTTTAGCTTCTGTAGCTGAGGCTTTTTAAATCATCGACGCGATGAATACAGATTCGGCAACAATGGAGGCGCAACAGAGAGATGTGGATCGGGTCAAGGGACCATGGAGTCCCGAGGAGGATGAATTGTTGCGCAAGCTCGTGCAACGCTACGGCCCTCGGAATTGGTCCGCCATAAGCAAATCAATACCGGGCAGGTCCGGGAAGTCTTGTCGTCTGCGGTGGTGCAACCAGCTCTCGCCGGACGTGGAGCACCGGTCCTTCACGCCGGAGGAAGACGAGATCATCATCAAGGCCCACTCAAAGTTCGGCAACAAGTGGGCCACCATAGCGAGGCTCCTGAACGGCCGTACGGACAACGCGATCAAAAACCATTGGAACTCTACCTTGAAGCGCAAGTACTCGTCGTTGATCGCCGACGAAGGCGCCACAATCGACGGACCTCCGGAAAAGAAATCAGCCATCGTGGAATACGCTATGCCGATACAATCATTGCCGCCGGGTGGCCACTGTTACAGCCCAAGCAGTCCATCAGGATCTGATGTTAGTGATTCAGGTCTTCCTGTGGTTTCATCTTCGATGGCGATTCGTCCTGTAGCGAGAAACTGCGCAGTCTTATCGCCTTCACTGCAGGTCGAGTCACGCCCAAGTCCAATCTTCAACTTAAACAAAGACCCTTGCACTGATCTTAGTCTGTCCCCTTTGGGAGCCGAGTTGAAGGAGTCGCAGAAGATTCAGAATCCCGGTTCCAGGGCGGAGGCACCAGCGCAGTCCGAGAAGTTGTCGTCAATGGCGACATTTGGGCCTGATTTACTGATGGTGATGAAGGAAATGATAAGGGAGGAAGTGAGAAATTACATGGCGGGACATCACGATGGATTGTGCTCTGATCCTGACGGTGTGAGTGGTGGAATTTCAAGGGTAAATTGAGCAGAGTGATCGGAGTATAGTTGCCGAGCCACAGTTGCTGAAGCCGAGGTTGAAGGAGAAGCGAAGGTGTTTATTAAATTTGATTACGGGCACAGAAATCGTTATTTTCAGATTGTACAGATGAGGGCGGTGGAAATATCTGGGGAACGACGTTGGCAGAATTAGAACATTGGAGTCATGAATTATTATCCAGACAGTGAAGATAAAATGGCAAAATAAAGTGGAAATCACAAACGAAAGTATGCGTAGCTATTTTGTTCTAGCAGAACTACTATAATGCATTAGATTCAATTTTTTTAAAATTTTGAATTCCTGAACTCGATGTTTGTTATTGGAAAGGAACAACCGAACAAAACCTAAGAAGTCGCGCATGGTTTACTAGTAACCGGCACATTATGGTACGGTGTTCGTACGTGCCGTACGACATTTGATTTATTTATTTTTTTGCTTTTGGTTGGGCCGTTAAGGGAGTTGTTGGTTGTTGAGTTGACCATCGTATAAGGTCGTCGTCGAAGTAACAAACCCACTATGCCTAAAAATGAAAAAGAGGTAGCCCATGGATAATAGGTCCATTGACGCACATGGTTCTAGATGCTTCATATGACGGCAAGACCAGGCTGGGTGGCTTGGGACGGTCTAATGAACTCCCCAAAAAGGAAAAAAAAAAAACGCCCAAAATGAACCCCCAATTATTTTGTGGAAAAATTTTAAAAAAAATAATTGTTAAATTTTAAAATTTTAAATAAAAAATTACTACAAAATATATTGTTATTTATTTTTTTTAAAACTCAACAGTCATTTTTAAAAAAATCTTTTTTTTAAAAAAATAAAATGGGTACATTGATATAGACAGTTAGCCATGGTGATGAGAAAAGGGACAGGATTGATTTTGAGCAATAAAAGTCAAATAATTAGGCATGAGGGTTTTTTTTTTTGGGTGGCGAATCATATACTTATGCTTGATATAAACTTATTTAATAGGTAAAGAACTAGATAAATTAGTTCGTTATAATAAATATACTAACATGTTTTCATAAAACAGCGTAATCATATTCTTTAAGAATAATTTATTTTCACATTAATAATACTACCTCTATCCTCAATACTACCTTTGATTCTTAATACGAGATTTTGTTTAACTTTTATTTTATAAGTATAATACCTCAATTCACTTTGCCTATCATTTTTTTTCCTAAAGTAGTCATTGCTATAATAGTAGCTATAGTCAATACACTTGATTAGTAAAGATATTTTAGGAAAGCAAATTACAAATAACTAATTTAACTACAAATAACTAATTTAACTAGTAACCAGTTGACTAATTCAAGTAGATTAAGAAAATAATTAAGTTAGTTATTTATAATAAATAGATGTTGTCTTTCTTAAATTATCCTTAATAATCATGTGTATCAACTAAATCTACTAATTGGTTACAGATCTACTAATTAGTAAAACATTTAACATGTGTAACTAGTACAATGACAACCTTAAGAAAAAAATATATAAATATAAGAGACAAAATGAATTATGGTATTATATTTAAGATTAAATTGAATGTTAAACTAGCTCTTATATTAAGAACAGTAAGTAGTACTTCTAACAAATCATTTCCGTTCTGGAACACGAGCTAGAAACAACAGCAAATCCATTGAGAGAATAATAAAGAAACCGAATTTCATTATGCATACCACATTAGCCATTGTAAAAAGTGAAATGAGAATGTCTATAATTTCACTTTAGTATCAAAACTATGATCTGTACAGGTACCATCAGAGTTTTGCAGTTCACATGTGACCTCACAACTCTTCTAATTGAGGACTGAGGAGGTTGTGGGCTGAGACCTCAAGTGACATAAAGAGTGTTTGCATGGGTTCTTTTCTTAAGGGAATAAGTTAGGGTGGGGGAAAAGATCTATACAAACATTACATAAAATCAGCATATCAAAATGTATAAAACGATTAGAAGTTTTGTTTGGAAACGTTGTAGTGCAAGGGGCAGCATTTCTTAACAAAGTGCTAATAGTATTTTAACTGTTTTGCTCGTGTGTGGTGATAGATTATGACATTTAGAAAAGCCATACTCATGCAATTCGGACATGGGTGGGCTTAATTTCAGGAAGCTTGAAGTAGGGTTGCACAAAAAAGTTTGGAACCCAATCAACCTGGCCCGACCGGCACAAACCGGTCCGACCCGGTCTAAAAAAAGTAACCCGATGAGGAGACAAGACCAATTGAGTCAGACTAAAATACTGGGTTAAGGACTGATGTGTCAGACCATATGGTCTAACCCGGTCCAGGTAACTTGTTTTTTTTTTTTTAAACATCTATATGTGTTTAATCATTTAATGGATATGTTAAATTTGAGCCCAACCCAACAAGCAATCAACTTCTCGACCTTAACATACTTTTCCCTTTCAGTCTATAGCTTCAATGACTGATGATGATTTAAAGGAAGTTTAGTATTAAAATTGGGTTATTTGAATTTTTGTTTGTTTGTTCTTTTATTTTTTTTTCACTGAATGTTGTCAATATTAAATATGATCTTATTTATTTTGTGATACGTAGATCATGTAAGAATCTCATCTTCCCAGGAATAGCTATGTTTATTTAATTTTAGATAAGTAAAAAGAATGGAAAACTCTATTTATTTAATGGAAAAAGCTCAATATACTTTAGAACGTTTGGAACAAAGTAGCAAAATATGCTGTAAAAATATTTTTTTATTAAAAAAAGCATCAAAACACCTATGAAATGAAGTTTAAAAAAAACAAAAACAAAAACAACAACCTGGACTAGTCTGGTAACCCGGTGGACCAAGTCCAACTCGATCCTGGTCCCGAGCCTACCTAGACTGGACCAGACTACAGACCAAAATGTCTAACTCGATGCTTTTTTAGACCAAACTTCAGACTGATGCTTAACCCCCATCCAGTCCGGTCTTTGTGCACCCCTACTCTGAAGTAGGAGCAGCGGCGTCACCGACGAGAAGGTCCAAAGATGTTTCTTTGGCTGTTTGAATGTGTTTCAGAGCAATTTGTCCTCCTCTGTGTTAAGGATAGCTTCATTTTCTTCTCCCAGGGCAATGTGCATTTGGAAGAGTGGAAATGATCACGCTGCAAAAAATGACCCATTGTGTCTTTTGTCTCTTCTTTTTAGGTACGGTTTTCTCTCTGTTGTTTGATTTGTTCTTTTTTTTTTAAGCTTTCTTATGGTTTGTGTTGTCATATTCTTTCGCATGAATTAGTTTTGCTTAGCGTGGCTGGCTACAGCCTATAGTGATTTATTTTACTCTGGAAGTTATATTTTTACAATTTTCTTATGTTTCTTCTTCCTTCTCATGCATGGGTTCTTGGGGCTACCACTAGGTTTGCAGCATTGCCTTCAAAGAGATTGGGTTCAACAGAGCTAAGGCTTCAAACTACCGCTCCCAATTGGCCCTGCTTTAATTGTGACAAACAAAGTTGGTCATTACCAGCAAGTATTGATCCAAGTAGAAGGGACTTGGCCCTTTAAATATTATGTCCTGGGTTCGATTATTGGGATGGTATGTATGAAAAAAATACTGTTAGGAAGGATCCCTGCTACAACATCTGATAATATCTTGAAAGATTAGTTTCTTACAGTTCGAGTAGAAGGATATTCTGGGCAAAAAAAAAAAAAAAAAAGAGCTGGTCATTGCATTTTCAATCCACAGGAACGGGCTCGCTTGTTTTATTGGGCCTGTTCTTTATTTGGGATGTTATAAGGTGATGTTTTTGTATTGGATATGTTTTATTCTACAAATGTTTATACTCCTCCGTCCTTATTATAAGACTCATTTGACTTTTATTTGGTCCTAATTATAAGACCCCCAATCCATTTTATCTCTTATATTTATGTATTTTTTTCCAAGATAATCCTTCTAATGATAGTTTGCCAATATCTAATTAGCAAGGATATTTTAGAATGACAACTTATTTATTATAAATAACCAACTTAACTTACTTCCTTAATCTTCTCAAATAAGTCAATTGGGTCTTATAATTAGGACCGGAGAGTATTTCCACGTAACTCACGCAATCATTATAAGGTCTCGTGTCTTCCCAAACCCCCCTCCAAAAAAAGAGAAAATTGGTAAAAAAATTTCTGTTTGAAAATTTAATTGGCTAAAATGACCTGAATTTGAGTATGTGCAAGTATGATCTGTGAATGTAACATATTTTGTGCTGTGTGCAACATATCTTCCGTTGTATGCAAATGACTTTTGTATTGATAATTGTTGTATATAATTGATAATATGTTGCTCACAGCGAAATATATGTTACACTTACGGATCATAACTGCACTTGGTCAAATTCAGTCCTTTTAACCAATTAAATTTTCAACCAGGATTTTTTTTATCAATTTTTCCAAATATATATATTTTATTTCTATTAATGAAATTTGTTTGATAAAAAATTCTAATATATATATTTCCCCAATATTAAATATGAAATCTAATTTATAATGCAATTTGAACTACAAACTAGATTTTATATTTATACTTAGAGGTAATAAATAGTACTCTCCGGTCCTTAATATAAGACCCATTTAACTAATTTGATTAGATTAAGGAAATTAGGTAAGTTAGTTAATTATAAGAAAAGTGACACATTTTTCCTAAAACACCATAATCATCTTTCTTAATACCTCTCTCCCCTCTTCTACTTGATTATAGTTGAGGGAGTATCCATAGGGGTAATTTAGAGAAAATTGATAAATATGAAGAATGGGTCTTATATTTAGGACCAAAATCAACTCAAAAATTGAGTCCTATATTAAGGACCAGAGGAGTAACATTTAAGTATCATAGCTAAGCTACTAATTTCTAATTAAACTCTTTCAAATTTAAAGACTAAAGGTGATCTCGAATCAATTACTTACGTCATCCCTTTTTATAATCAACAACTATTATTGTCCTTTTGTCCCCAAAATAAGCAACAATTATAATTGTTTTAAATTTTTGTAGCAATTTTTATTTTACCTCATTAATTATTTATGTTAATATTTCATATATTTATTATCACATTTCCCAAACCATCATTTCTCTCTTTAATAATTTTTTTTATTATAATAATTTTCTTATTCTCTTTCTTATACTCTCCCCTTATAAATAAGGGTATTTTGGAAAAGAAACTTTTAATTTTTACTTATTTATTACCTTTAACTAATTTTTTGATTTATATAATGGAGTTTTATATTACTTATAAAGAGAGATGGAGAGAGTAATATTGATAACCCTACCGCTAGTAAAATTTGTCAGGAGGGAACTGTTATTAATTAAA